TTCCGATTTCACTACGAGTATGCTGAACCCAAGGTGCCTCCAATACGCGGATATGATCGCTGAGGGTCAATGGTTCTCCTTGATGGTGTGTTCACCTCCTGTGACCTCGTTAGTCGTACGACACCAACATTAAAAACAAGCGTTGATTCTTATGTTCGAATTTCAACAATGACATCATAGACCAAAGCTGATTTATAGACCAATGTTTCAAATAGTTTAAGCTGAAACTGAAAAACGTTATTCAAATAAAGTGGATAATTTTAAAACTTTGCTTAGTCAAGTTTGTCAGGTAATTTAAAACGAATTTAATAAGAACCTATTCTAAAATTTTATAGTAAAATATGGGGTATTAACAAAGTATATTACCTTAATGAGGCTTTATATTTGCGCAATAAAAACGTAAAAAAAATCATCTCGTTTGTCTTTTTGAGATTGTTGTCGAGTAGATCATTCAACGTGATAATTGCTAAAATAACCTTCGCAAATCGTTGCGCTTGCGTTTTCGAGAAATACAAGTTTTTGCGAATATTCCGATAGGTACAAGTGTACCTTGAATCTTTTAGAGCAGTCGACAGATAAAGGTCGTTGAATGAGACTTAAAAACAGACTATAATAATCGTTTAATACGTTTCTGATAAAAGTTTGTCGGCAAAAGTACGATAAGAATTCGGAATGCGGTTTCTTGATTGTCTTGCCTTTTATTGGAAAACAAATGCATGCAATTACGAAGATTATTATGAACATGATAAAAACTGCATTAGAAAAAGACATATTTCTAAAATTTTACTGAAATATTAAATTATGTATATATTAATCACATTTATTTATTTAATATTTAGTTATATGAAAAACATATTCGACTCGATTAAACAAACGTAAGTAGTGTCATTCCGCGTGCGGCATGCCGCGCCGTGCGCAAGCGCAACCTTGCGGCGCGCGGCGCAGGTCAGATATTTCGAAGGTCGATGACTTGCCGTCGTAATCGCAGCGAGTTATTATTATTTGACAGCGCTACTCCCCTCCCACCCCCGCTTGTAGCGCTACGAATAAGATATCGAGCGGACCGGGTGCTGGGATAGATCGCTCTTCGTCGTGAATCGTGATCTTTACTTTTTAAATTGTGTTCTTGAATGTTCTTTTATCTGCTACGTAAATTATAGCATATTTATTTTCTTTTATATCTATAGAAATAAAAATAAAATGATTTATACATAAAAAAATAAACTATGTAACACATAAATATGTAAAGCCTGGTTAAATAAAAAAACATGGAAAAATGCCGATTTTGACATTTTAATAGAAAAAAAAACTGAAAATAAAAGTAAACAGAGACGACTTTAAAAGAAATTAAAGAAACATATAAATAATTATCTATTCGATAACAAGCGATACGCAATATAACCTTTAAAATATCTACTGTTATGTAAAATTTGATTAAATTTCTTTCCCATTAAGTGGCTGTACCAGTCACTGGTAAATGATTATTAATAAAATTAATAGTTGACAATGTATTTTTAGTAAGCGGCGACCTAAAAATTAAGCCTGTGAAACCGCATAAAATATTAAATTTATCGTGCTTCTTTGTTTTTTACTTCTTTCACATAGATAATTCATCTTTTTCTTTGTCATATGCATGCATGTAATTGCTATGATTTTATAACAACTAGAGAAGAGTTCTACATTTCACTATAATGAACATTTTTGTTATCTCCAAATTCGAATCCACTAAACAGATATTCGGCCTTGTTTTTCCAAATTATTTTTATCTCTTTTGTTAAAAAAAACCTAGTTTTATCCCTTGTTTGAATAGACGAGAAAGAACCTTTTACCTGCACATTGAAATACAGCTGGTGTGTGTTTAAAGAATAGACATCCTCAATTTGTAATCCGTTGACACCAAGGATACAAGTGTGTACAGTATTGAGATTCCAGCGATTCCTAGTTTTTTTTTTTAATAGAGGGCGACAAGCATGGGAATTATTTGATGGATGCTGAAAAACCTTTAGTCATAAAACTCAAATTATGATGCGCTGTTCGCCTATTTCGGGGGTAAATCTACGATACATCTCACAGCTTTTCCACCTATGGTTCTCGCTGTCGTAATTTTATCAAACGGAATTTCGACATTGCTACAATCAATTAATGTTAAGATCATACTATAAAGTTTTGGAACGAATTTATTTTGTAAAGTTTTGCTTATTATTTAATTGAAGCGGAAAGAGCGTTTTATGGTCTCATAATAGACAAAATTGAAAGATTAGGAAAATAATAGACGATATTGAAAAATTTGGAAGATTCACTACAAGAATAATATGGCCTACACACTCTATCCATGTAACCACATAATTTCGTAGATCCTGTCCATTATGGCTTTTTAAATCTATTTTAAATTTAAATTAATGAAGAATATTAAACTAACAGTCATTTTATAATAAATATACATTTTAAAACGTAAACTTTGATCCATCTGAAAAAACTAAGGAAACCAATATTTAAAAAATCTATAATGACTTTATTGAAATGGGAAATGCAAGTGTTCGAAGTTACAACAGACGACTACCCGTGTCATTTGAAAAAGTGCAAAATTGCTGACCCACTGACCTAATTGCGGAGTCCGTGAGAGCGCAAGGTCAGGTCGCTGAGTTAACTCTGTGTGTCTTGTAACTCGCCGATTTCATTATCTTCTTAAAACTTCTGTTACAATTTCATTCAATTGTCTTCACACAAGTAGATCTGGCTTAGATTCTCTGTCAATTAATACGCTTGGTACAAACTTATTTAATGATTTAGATGTAACGGGGGCCATCGATACATTAATATAAATTATAACGTAGGTAAATGCTTGTGAATATTAAATAGATATCAATTCACGAAATTGTAAATTGTTATCATTAAAATTTTAGTCTTGTTAGTTCTTTTAAAGTGGAATAGTTATGTAACACCTTTAATTTACGTGTGTAAGATATACATTGAAGCTTTAGTTTTATTTGGGTTGTCATTTTTGAATAAATCTGTTTTATTATTAAAACAAAAAAAAAATAGTTACCACTTCAGTAAAGAGTTTGCGTGACCCCGTTGCAAAAAATGTGGTAACGGTAGCGTGATGCCAGAAACGGTTTATCCAACCAGATACGGCATGCTCTGTGCACTGCCACAGAAAATCGCATGAAAACGGCCACTTTCTCTCGAACACGTTTCGATCCTGGCGTGTTTCAGTATTAATTTGATCACGAGACAGTGCTCACGAGTAGATTTGCGTCTTTTAACCCGTATATACGCGCATACGCATACGGCATCTAGATACGAGCATGGTATGTAACCTTGGCATGTGGTTGCGGATATCTCGACGAATATTTTCGTTAAGTGAGTCCACTTTCATTTTTAACGCTCGTGCTTGCGAAATAAAGAGAAATATAAGTTTGATGTCTCTAAAGATCTGCAATTACGTCAGGAATTGCGCAAATGGCGAGCTTAAAATGGGAAACGGTTAGTGAAAGGTTCGCTAGGTTTGCCACGAGCGTGGCTGTCATTAAAAATAAAGAACTGGTAAGACGATGACTCGGCCGCTGCGAAAGAGCAAAAAACTTGAAGAGTCGTGTGCGAGTGGGAAAGATGTAGACAACCCAACAAGTGCGTTACCCCCACGAAGCTGCTTATTTATTACTATTGTAGCGGTTTCGTCTCATGAAATTCAGAAATTTATTCTCATAGGTACGTTTGATGCATTACATAGTTTAAATAAAATACTTTAACGGTTTTAAACGGTTTCACTATTTTTCGCGTTTTCAACGTTTGAAGTGTTATATTTGTAATGTGCCTTACACAGGTCTTAAGAGCCAAATCGTTAACTTTCTTTACAAAAGAAGCAGAAACTTAGTTTCATTGTGAGTTTGCCATTTAGTTTCCATATAATTAGATTCAAAATATATTGACACAAGACGAATTGTTGAATGTTGTCAGTTAAGTTTTTGACCCATTTCGGTATGTACTTGTTCTTAATTAATCATTTAATACCTAGTTAATTACAAAACCTATCACGTAACTATCAAGCATGTATTAATATTTTAATGTAGATTAATTAAAATAACTTCTGTTAAATCTTGGCAATCGAAGTAATATAATGTTACGAAGGACTGCACTGTATTTTATGTGTAGACCACACGGACAAATAAAAATTAATTTATTTGAATAAGTTACTAAAAATAGTTTTGTAGAATGTGGTTTGTACAAAAAGCGATATCGTTTATTGTTGTTGATTTTAAAGTATTTTAGTTCCCTAATGCCTATTTATTTTATTTACGATAGGTCTACGTGACTCTTATCAATGTATTGTATCTGTTTGTAGCGTTTCCTTCACTTGTTCTCCGATAACTGTTTATCGTAATCTTTCAGCACGTGTTTTATCTGTTTTATTAAACACGTCCGTGATAGCACTGCAAGAGGTTTCAAAACCATGAATTCTTGAAATTATTTGCAATAGTGAGTACTCGAGTAGGGCCGTACAATACTGTGTAACGCGAGTACTAACAGCAGCAAGAGGGAGAATTTTAAAACAAATTTTCACGTCTAAATTGGCTCTAATGCTGTTTAAATGTTGTCTTCTCTAGTATTTAGCCTACATGCTCATGAATAACCATATAATTTAGAACATACTCATACACTCGTACATCATATCTGTGTGCGATGTGCCAGCCAATAGGTCGACCAACCAGTCGACCAGACGGTCTCCCTCCCTCGAAATGTCCTCTGTCTGTACTCCCCTCCCCCGATTTCCCCCATCGCGCCGTCCCCTGCCCCACTACTCTCCAGTCAACGTTGAGCCACGTAGTCGATAGTACGTTTTCTCCGTTAACTTACTGTCCACGTTCTTGATACACTATTTTCTTTGTAATTCAACAAGTACTGAGTTTTCTTAGGTAAGAACGCTTTTGTACCAGGACATTGCAATAAGATTTCACATATTTTTAAACCGTCGTTTATTTAACCTTGTTTTGTTACAGGTACTCGAGTGAACTGTGAACCCAGATACCTCCGCTGCTTCAGGCTCATCAGTGGAGTTATTTCAATTTAATAATTGTCATTTTATACTCGTTTGAGGAAGTTGAGTGCAATAATTACAAATTACGTTAATACACAATACAGGACTGGATTGAAGTGATTTTAAGTGAATAATTGAAGTGCGACTGAAGTACCGTTTGTGTAAAAAGATTATTACCAAAAGGTTTTAGTGTTGGTTCAAGTGACATAGTGTACTTTGGATGTTTCAAATTTTCTAATGGCAATTGTAAGTACATTTTTGTTTGTTTTGTAACACCATAGAATAACCGAACTAGGCATAGTGAATCAACCTTTCAAGAAGTGGTATTATTTTAGTTAAATGTTAAAAAATGATCTAAAATATGTTTTACAATACATAGTTTAGAAATTGCGGACAATAAATAATGTTTTCCTATCGTCCCTGCGACAAATCGTACTTGCGATAAATTTCAGCTCGAATAAATAGTCTATATCTTACTTATTTTGTAAATTTTTGCCATAAATTTCATTTCTAACTTGTCTAAAGTGAAGAAATATCTGAATAGCAGTGTTTCGATCTCTTTGATAAAAATAATCTTATAAGTTCTCTTTCTTTTGTGTTTAAGAATTTCAACTTTATTGTCGAGGGTCATCGCTAACTATTTCAGTTAACACATGGGTTAAATGAATAAAAAATGTCACAAAAAACCAGGTAGGAATTATAAAAACTGTCGCGTAGAGATAATAAATTCTCTTTTCAATCGATCCCAGCCTGCAGGTGCTTGCGTCTTGACTCGAGAGAAAGAATTTCAGTCTTTTTTTTATAATAACTCGTTTCATATACATTTTTCAATCGTGAAACAGAACTCTCTTTATATTAATTAAGAATTACACAAAAAAAATGTTCTTATCAGTTTTTAGTTATAAATATAGCTATGTCACAATATACCTATTGTTACGCTGAAGACAAGTTTTATAAGTAGTGTCGTCCTACTTTCTTACTCTATTAGTAATATCTTGCAAATACAAAATAACTATCAAATAAGATGCTTTTCTGTCTAAAATCCAAAATATTTGTTAATTAATTTTTAACTATAACGATACCGGACGTTTCGGATGCTTTAAAGCAGCCATAGTTACGAAGGACCGCTGTCTAATAAAATAACTACCTATGTAATTTCATTTCGTGTTTTGAACTGTTAAAAGTGAATACTGTCTATACTTTAGAGTAGTACACATTTAAATAATTTAGTACTTTAACGGTTTAAAACGAGATATATTAGTTAAACTTATTTGATTGATTTTTAACTTCGGCGAGACGTTTCGGATGCTTTGCAACAGACGTGGTCACGGGGAGATCCTTTAAGTGTTTTATTTTATGTGTACTTGCATAAACTTTAGACGTTATAATATATAAAATACAGTTTTATTCTTTAGAATAAATGTGGGGTCGTTTGTGTACCGATAAAATGATAGGCGAGGGTAATCTTTGGATGTTGATTGAAGTGTTGCATGACCTCGTAGTGCAGTACACGTCATTTAGAAATGCATACGTCATTATAGGTACATATATATTTATTGTATTTATAAATATTTTTCCTGAATTAACTTTAGAATCAAATTTCAGTCTGAAAACAAGTTTACCACTTTATATCTGATAAACTTTTAAGTATTTATTAATTTCATAATATCCTTAGGGACTTTCTCTTCTTCGGCCAGATGAGAACTGGGTTTGTTTATAGGTCTGTTTTCAATTTACTTAGTTACATTTAATATTACATTATCATCTTTTTTAAAATTTAATTTTCAGTGATCTTATTTTGCACCTACATCGAATTACCACTAGTAGCCGATTCGTAACCACTGCTACATACTACATCACAAAAAAAGTAAATACGTCCTTTTACATCGTCGGTTACGTTCTTTGTTTAAATAAGTTCGTTGTAGGTACCACCTAGACAAATGTCTTGGTTAATAAAAAATCTCTTAGTAAAAATTCAATATCGCAAAATCTATTAATTTGATAATATAAATCATCGCTTACTGTATGTTGCGAATCGCGAGTGCTCAACACTTTAGTAGATAGCATTAAGTGGGTCAAGGCGCATTCGCAGGCCGCGCTAGTGTTTCCTTCCTTCTCAATGTTGCCAATATTAAAAAAAAAACGTTTTACTAGATTTGCAATAGGCGCGTGTTGACTGTTAGTTGGTACAGCCGAGGTCAGTTAAATAAGCAATTCTCGACGAGATATTGATGATATCAGAGGTACTTAGGCGAGAATTTACGATAATTTAAGTCACTAATGTCAGAATTTTTATCTCACGAGGACGATGAAGTACGGCTACAATTCGATGGCGAAATAATGTGAAAAGAAAACGCGGATAACGACTAGGGTGTCACTTGACCCGACAAAAATTGACCCCGTCCATATTGTATCTAACAACAACTAATGACAAAAATTAAGCGTGTCTCAAAAAAAATATCTCTGTCTCCGGCAACCGTTGTTTCTGTTTTGTGCCTGCATCTGGCTCCGCAACATAGGAGTCGAAAAAAAACCTTGCTATGTCTTTAAATCGGGCCAAAAACTTCGCTTAAATAGATTTTATATAGATACCTCATAGTACAAATGTTAAGTTTATTAAGTACTCGGTAGGTATAAAAAATTTTGGTATATTTTTCAATTGAATTTGTGGTGTACCTAAAATGTAAAGAAAGTTCGTTTCCCAATTTCAATCGATAAAAATTGTGTCCTAACACAAAAATGGGCATTTACAAACAATCTAAATAGTCAGATAAGAGCAGATTGCACTAGTTACTGTGCAACGACCCACTTAGATACTCGGTATCGCCACAGATACCCCCACTACTTTCTCTATTACTATCTAAATTCATTTATCTTTATTTTGATTTATTGACTTTGTTGACACACTTAATTATATTTACTTAAGCTTCGCAGGCTTGTTAATGACATGTCAAACAAAATCACCGTATTTTTAATATCTGGATGTTTATCTTAGTGTAAACTAGGACTGGTTAATAATACTAGCGATTATTAATGATTTATTTAAGTTACACTCCTGCGGGTTTAAAATTCGCCTGTTTTCGTTTTTGTATTATTTAAGAATATGTTATGAATGAAAACGCATAGCGAAACAAATAAAGAGCTATGTTTCAAAATATATATTTTTTTATGTTTACGTAATATATTTAAATGGAATATGCCATTTACATACTTCTTGTTAATGCCGATATCACACTCAAGAAGAATTAATTGTTTGTTTACTGTAACTGGCTACTTTACGTCATGTGTCGATATCATTTAATTCTTCTTAGTGGACTAGCGATACTACAATGAATCAGTTTCAGAAAATATTATATTTTTGACCGATTTCAACGTAATAAGATAAGATTATTTTATGGAATGAAAATTGTATTTACAACTAAACTTTATTAAGAAATGTATTACTTAGATACGCCTTACTTAAAAATTTAGGTTATTATACACGAGTCAAATTAGATAATTTTTATTATTGTTAATGTTTCTTTTCGCTCAAAAGCGTTGACTTTCTGTTATGCAGATCGTAGACTACTGAGGTATACGGTAATTATTAAATTAAGAAGAACGAGAATAATGTTTAAAATGTTATCATCTTATCGTAGGTTGGTAGGTATTTTAACCCTTCGTTATGGAATCGCAGCTCAAGCATTGATAACGTGAATTTACTATAGTCATCGCTATACGGAAATTAAAACAACTCAGTACTTACAGCCAAATACCAACTTCGATGGAACAGATGGCGCTAGCGTAGCAGTTTTTACTTTGACGTCAGAGACATCTCCATCTTTAGTCAATCCGTGACCTAGACTGCTGCAAAGTATCCAAAACGTTGGAACATAGTAAAATGATTTTCAAAATAAGTTTAAGTTGTCTTAATAGTTTTATTTCTTAAATTATAGTCTACTTTTTCTAACTTGGAAAAACTAGTGATGACCTTCTATAAAGTGAATTTGTTGCCAGACATGACACAGGTATAAGAAATATCGATTTATATATGGACCCAACCTCAGTTTTCAAAAATGCTTTTGACCCTTTCTTTTTTTGTCATTATTATTTAAATGAACGATTCTAACGCTTCATAACGCGATCGTGCGTGAGTAAGACTTCTACCTTCTATCGTTTTTTTGCTCCTCCCTATGTAAATATCAAAGCAACGAAATTTTAATCAGTCCATTTACGTAAGCCTGTTATTAGGATTTTGTGCGTTTGTTTACCAAAAGTGACAAGTTAGAACAAATACACTAGTAATTGCATTAAGTGCGAAAGGGCTGAAGCGCGAATACTGAGAAAACGTAATACAGTGTAAACTCCATGTAACGTCACTCTATTTAACGACAAACTCTCTTAAGCGTCGAAATTAATTGGCTTTGGTTGGTTTAGCTTGTTTTTCATACAATGTTTCTTCTCTCATTTAACGACAACTCTCTATAACCCAATAGTCTGTCTGTTTTTCGTTCCGTCGCCTGATCGACTGCTTCAAATGGATATCAACGAGATTATAATGTAATGTAGTATTTAAAATTCGAAATTTTCTTTAGTTTTTTTTAATAGAAAATATTAAGTAGTTAAATAATGATTTTGTTCAAGTTTATCACAGTTTTGCATCGGTGTCGAAATTAACTTCCTCGTTTTTAAACTGAAACAATACCTAATAATGAATACTGCATCTTGAACAATGATGCGCGTGACCCACAATATTTGTCACGTGCACCATCATCGGCTATAACATTGACTTTCACATTTGCAACGTGACGTAACTGTGCTTGTGATTAGGTAAATGTTGCGAGCGGTCGGGCCGCTTTCACTTCACTTTCACCGTAGCTTCCGCAATTCTAGCCTATCTAGTGAAACAAAAATGTTACACAGATCTAGGTGTAGCGGTCTCCCAGTTCTCATGCCTTCATTCTGCGCCCTGAATTTGGGAACTGCCAGTAAATGTAATTTTTGTTTTAAATTTAAATTATATGTGCAGTCCGGTCAAAATATCTACTGAGTACTGACCCATTTTTTTATTTTACTCTTCAACACATTACAAGAAGGGTAAGGTCCTACATTAATATATTACGGACGACAAAAACCATATACGATAAGCAATAGGAAAAATATAATATGTTATATATATATGGCTTGTTAATTATTTGTAATGTAGGTCACTTGTTTTTTTCTATTTCATGCAATATGTAGGAGGGTAATTATAAAAATACTATCTTTCACTTTTCTATACAACATTTTGAAACATACCACTTCGTTGAAGTCAGCAAAAACTAAAAAGGTGAAGTACATTTCCATGATTTCATCTATGGGCAATTTTTCAATTTCAATTTACAATACGTTTGGCATTGGCACATTGACCTACTATTGCTGTCTGTTTCATATGTTCGCTTTGATAATAATATCTTACTGACAGTTGAACATTTCGTTGATAACATATCAGGGAAAATTAAACCTAATCATTACTAATTGTCATTTCTTTTTCAAAATTATGATTGTCCTTTTGGAATGTCGAATCATCGTGGTTTATTCTGCCGTCTTTGGTCGAATCTGATTTAGGCCTCTGATGCAAGTGAGAAACCAGTTTCGAATTCGAAAATCTTGTAACCAGCTATTGACCTAGTAGCCTACAAACTGGAAGGAAAACGACTCGATTGCGTGTCAACTCTGAACTAAAAGACGATCGACTTACGATACAGCTCACATATTCTTGAGTTTAATGCATATTTGAACTGTATAAAGAGTAGGAGATCTGGGAGAGTTGATTCATGTAGCATAAATGTAGTTAAGACAAGTCTCCTTGTCCAGTTCAAAATTTCGAAGTTCGATCATTCAAATCAATACTCAGATCAGTACATGCATTTTGAAAAAGTAAGACTGTTTGTAATATATTTTATTTTGTTCCACTTCGTACGTTAACGAATTTTGATAATATATCAAATCTGGTATTAATAAAAACTGTGTTAACATATTCTGCTATTCTATTCCAATTTCCACTACTCATATAATTTTCCTTAATCCACTCCACATTGTAGAAGTTTCACAATTAAGCCCAAAAAAGATTACTCTTCATGATCCTATTTCTTTTAACAGTAACCTCAGTTATATAATTGATAATTAGTTTATTTTATTTACGTCATAATAAATATTGTGATATGAGAAATAAACAACAATCAGATGTCTTGTAAGAAACGTTGGAGACATTCCAAATGAGCTCGGATTGTTACATTTCTTAAAATAGCATCAGCAGGTATTTTATCACGCTTGACGAAGTGTTTGTGTACGTAACTGATTAGTTTTTAAGTTTGTTGTTCTTTTAGAATCTACATTTTTCATTTCCAAGTAAATTATATCTCCAAGTCCTAGAACGAACTACGACTAGAACCTACGAAGGGTCCTTCGTAGGTTCTAGTCTAACAGTTATCTTTATTCATAAAAGCAAAACAAATACAGGAAGTATTAGTTGCAATGTAAGTCGGCCATCCTCAATAAACAATGCGGATCTAATAATAGAGGGCGTTAGAGCGCTGGATCGAAAAATAGAACGTAAATGTAGGCCACACGCGCGTGCGCATCTCATACGTATTCTGTTTGAAATTGCGGGATGCGATAGAAAACTATTTCTTAAAAATCGATCGATTAGCATATGGTGATCAATAATTTTCATATGAAGCCATATTTTTTTGTATACATTACGAACTTTATTGTAAGAATACGTAACATAAAATATATAGCATTTGCCATAGTCCATATTACAATTTAAGGACCTGTTGGGGCTTTAGACGGCTTAGCTTGAACAGAGTAACTAGTAATTTAATAAAATGTAATCATTTTAAGAGTATATTGCAAACAATGTTTTAATTATCTAAAGACACGCGAGGTTATTTTGCGGAAAGTCTGCTGCGGATAGCCAAATGGATGTGACCTTGCCTTGAAAACTTGCTTCCGCAAGATTGCATTTATTTCGTGGCGCTGTATTCCCCATTTCTCAATTTTATATTGCCGTCTACGTCTTATAAGGAAATCAAACAAAATATAAACAGCATAATTACGATATTAATGGTAACGAGAGGGTTTTTTGAAATATTGATGGTTCTACGTTGTTATTAATGAGCTCAAGTCTCGTCTGCAACCGTGTGTAAACTGCCTAAAATATTATTAACACAACGGTTTTATTGCCTACCTTCAATCTAACCTAATTTAATAAAAAGATTCTCTACGTTTGTTGACATGGATAAGAGACTAATTAACTTGCGTATTGATTATTTTCAAAATCGCTTATCACAACAGAAGAGAATAAACTATTATTGAAATAAAAGCTGGCACATTGCCAGCAATATCACAATCTTAGTTACAATGTCTCATCTTGGATGTTAACTGTTTATATATACACATACACATGTAAAAAAAAACGAAAATGTGACAAAATCGGAATATTATTTCGGAATAATTTTCTTATGAGGAGGTAATAAAAGATGCTAAAAGCTTTACAATTTAAAAGTAACACTAAGCATGGAATGTATTTCAAAAGCGCATTTTTTTATTTATAAATTATTTCAGTCGATAGCAATCTTTTGGCTATCAATTATCTGAAACATTGTAGGAACTATTATTTTGGCAGTAGATCTGGTACTTATGTAGGTACTCTTCACAATTCGCCTTGTTTTTTTCTTAGTGGAACATTGACCTACCGCCGCTGTACTGCGTCATGAACACTATAGTTTTTGTGGTAATACCACTAATAAACCACTTACAATATAGTCAATTAAAAAATGTCATCTATCATTTACGTGCGTCTTAATTGTAAATTTATTTCATTTGATAAAGAAATTGGAATATGCGTCATGAATAATAAAACATGTCTTTTTCAGGTGGAGTGAAATATAACGACGGAGACATGAATACCAGAGGTTGCCATTCACACCAAGCAGGATAGCAGTCAAGGTAAATATAACAAAAATCTTATTGCACACGATGGCATTATATTAATTAAGAATCGGTTTTATCTAAAAAATTTACATCACGGGCGGGACTTGAACCGGCATCTACAGCAAAAAAAAACTATTTTTGATTTAATAGTCTTGATATTTATCGAGTTTAAAATTTGTAGCTCGGGGTTCGAGTCATGACCTCTTAGAGTTAAGCTATGCAATACGTTCAACTACCGCAGAAGCGGTCATACGTAAAATTTTCTGCGAAATTAGATTTTAATATAATTATACATTTATACGATACAGATATTTAAATATTATATACTTATAGTCGTTTAATGCGTGAGGTGTACGATGTCGGTTACGGACAATGAACCGAGGTCGAAGAACGCTCAAGGACACGCGATGGGTAACGAACCCATACCTCACATCACTTATTTTATTTATCTTGTGAGATTAAAACGGTTACTAGATATTGCAATTAACAATAATTCACTATAAATATATACTATAAAGCAAAAATATTACCTTTCTCAATTAAACTTTTGTGTTTTTCAGGTTTTCAGTGGAAACAGGACTTCAGAGTATGGATGTTTCTTTTAACAATGTTGTGGAAGGGACCCGCCAATATTTTATGGGAGTGCCAAAAGCACAAGAGGGATCCGGACAATCAATGTGGCCATCAGGGCATCCTCCAGAAGAAGGAACTCCAGCAATGTCAGGAGCGCCAGCACCAACCTCTCGTCCACCGTCAGCGGCTGCAGCTCCCCCTTCGACTCCCACAACGACACAGGGGGTAGTGCCACCGAGACCTCCTTCAGAGCCTTTAGAACCTGAACCACACATTATTCATAAAGCTACAGTTATGAGAGAAGCTGCGGAAAAAAGGCGTGAACAGCCAGAACCGGAGGATGAAGAGGAACACGTTGGCCCAATATCCCCACCCTCTCACATCATACGCAAGCCAACTCCTCACACATTACCGTCACCCGCGCCGGCTCCAGCAGCGCCGTGCCCTTCTCCAGCTAGACCACCGTCAGCTATTCCGCCTCAACAGTCACACACGCCGGAACATATGGAGGCTTCCCAATATCGTGCTCAACTACATAAAGTACAAACGACTCCTCGGCCTATAGAGGAATTTTCTTCGGGACGCCCACCAGATCCTTACATACAAAGGCCAGTCGAACAATATGCTCGTTATCAGTATGAATCTTCAATGCCGGACAGCAGTAGAAATGTTCACGGCCAACTGATTTCTTCACCACAACCGCCAACTATCCCTCGTCAAAGTCCCCAAACATATGCCCGTTTGTCTAGTACCATGACACAACATACCGTCCAACGTTTAAATGATGCTAATACATCTAGTCCACCAGCTCAAAGATATCAAATACAATCTCAAGTACCTCCACATAATGATCGTGTTCCACCAATTTATCATCCACAAGTCCTGCCCCCTCCAAAAAGGTTAACTTCGTCCAGTGTTTACACAACACAAACTCAACGTCGAGAATCGTCAACTTCTATGTCCCGAAGTACCTCGCATTTTGAAAGACATCCTCCATTACCACAGAGGAAATATGACCATCAACATACATATTCCGGGTATCGGCCTAATTCAACACCATTGCATCACAATATGCCTAACCATCGTGTGGAGCAACATCAAACCCTCGCTTACAAGCATAGTGTGTCGGATGCAATAACTTCTCGTTACACACAAAGATCTGACCGTATACCGGCTTTAATACAGCCACATTCACATGACCCTATTAGAATGCCATCTCGAGTTGATTATTCTGGTAAATCTGGTAGTATTGATTCAAGACATAACTATCACAATTATCCTTCACCATCAACATCGTCCGTAAGGTACCATCAAAGTGCTAATGTACCTGTTGTACAACATAATTCACCAGTTCCGGTGAGACCTTCTCATCGGCCAGCAGCGACACCAAAAGTGAATTACGCGTATACGTCGTCAAGTCAGAACATGCAAATGTCTCCATCGCGTTCTGCAATAAAGTCAGGTTATCCCAATCAACAAGCGCGCATGACAGTCTCTGTCACGTCCCTGGTCAATGAAATGAACCAAACTAAACAAAAGCGAGAATCCCCTTTAGATCTTTCAGTTAAAACAGTTAAAAATTCCGCTGATTCATCAACTACTCAAGATGATATGATTGATTCAGTCTCCATAGAAAGTAAATCATTAGCTCCACAGTCAAGGGTATTAAGCAACAGGCATGTTCTCAGTGATCGCTATACATCTTCGCACAAAGTTGATTTTGCGCCAGATTTCGCACAATACAGAGAACAACGTTTTAGATATGCATCGGCATCACAACAACACTGTGATCCAAGTAGCCGTCTCAGCGTCTCATACGAAAGTTCCCGACCCATGAGTGAAAACTATGGAATAGAATCTCGACATAATGTTTACTCGGAACGTGCAAAATATTCAAATTCTATGAATAGAAATGATTACGTACCTCGTATAGACCTAACAAGATCGGTGGCTGATGAACGACTAGTCGTTAATAAATTACGAGAAGAAAGTAGAGTCGAAGAGCGAAAACGTAGTGCAGGTCCAATTGTCAGTAACATTCCCGAGAAAATAGTACGTCGTGAGGCCTGGCCAGGTGAAGGTCGAGATCGGTTAAGCCATTCTGCTAGAGAACAACGAGATCTGATGAGCCGACCTGTTTATGATTATTCAAGCCATAAAAAACTAGAAGCGTATCAGTATGATTTAAAACAACCTGGTCAAGTCTACCACGAAAATCGTGTATTCGTCAATCCATCATACAATAGAAATGTATATCCCGTTGAAACTTCTAGTAGGGAGGCAATGGATTACCATCATCATTACCAAGATAGATATGCCAATCGTCATGTTATCCAAAAAATTGCAAGTCGAGAATCACAGATTCAATTAGATGCGAGTACTAGAGTTCAGAGAGAAGCTGATAAAAATAAAGTTTTAAGTATATTAAGAAACAGTTTAGAAACAAGGCAGGCTAGTTTTGATAAATCTAGTACAATTCCGGAACTCATCGTTATAGATGATGTGGACGACTCTGTTATAGAAATAACAGACTTAACTAAAGATAATGATAGTGAATCCCACTGTAAGAATCTAAAAAGGGAAAGCGAAAGTAAGGAAATTACAAATGTTGGTCAACAGATACAAATGCCTAAAGCGGTTGATTCTATACCATCTGATTCCGATTACCAAAGACTTGATAGTAATGATGCCAAAAGTAGATCACCAGAAAATGATGTGGCTTCTAGAATTAGAACAAAAGCTGAGCTTAAAGTTATGCCTCCTTCACAAGAATCATCAACAAAAGAAGAAGCACCTAACAATGTACTTACTTGTAACAATAAGGAAAAAATCCTTCCAAAATCCCAGAAGCAACACCTATTTAATCAAATTCGTAAAGATAACTTACGATTAGAATCAGTTATTATAAAGGAAAGCTCAAATGGTAGCAGCATGTGCGAGGTAAAATCTGAACCAATGAGTATAGAAGAAATTGAAAAAGATGCAATATTGTCTATTAAATCAGAAAATAGTATTGATATCCAAAAAAACAATGATGTTGAGAAAGTAGACGAAAGTGTGGACTGTCTAGACATGGATTGGTCTACTGCATGTGATAGTTTTATGAAGCAGCTACAGACAGGATGCCATAAGAAAAAATCTCAAAGAATCACATGTTTTAATGAAAACGATGAAAGTAAAAATAAAGAGGACTTTGTGCCAGTAGATGCAAAAACTATAAACGAAAAGTATGATGAAAATTTAGCTATTGCGGGAGACCCCCAAACCATGGAAATAACTCCTTTAATTCAAATTAAACAGGAACCTAAAGATGAGGATGAAAGTGTAGGTGTTGAAGAAATTTCTCAGACATTACCTGTGAAAGAGGAACCTAAGAAAATAGAAAAGCAAAGTGAAAAGCCACCCAAAAATAAAAATCACAATAAAAATAAAACAAAAGGAAAGAATGTATTTGCACCAACGAAAACAATAAAAAAAGAAAAGAATATCGTCTCAAAAACTGTCATAAAAGAAGAAGTGGAATCTACGGATGACGATGAACCGTTAATCAAAAGTAAAATATTAAAAGAAAAAGAAAAGAGTGAACAGTTAAAATATCAATTACTCAAAGACTTATCAGAAAAATCAGCAATAGTAAAACTTGAATGCTGTGATGCAAGTACAAGAAAATCTGTCGATTCAATATTGAAAGAGAAAGATGAGAAAAACGTTAAGCCTAAATTGACTACTAGGTCTAGTATAAGAAAAAGTAAATTAACCACCGAAAATATCAAATGTGAAACTAATAACGACGATAGCAGTTCCGAAAGTGAAGGTGATACCTTAAAAATTTCTAGTAGATTAAGAACACGTAAGAAAACAAAAACTGATGACAAACCAGTGTCAATTACCAAAACACCGCTAAAAAATACTACATCAAAAAAAATTGACAACAGTAGTACAAGTAATAGTTCTACTCCTGCTCGCAAGACTGGTTTCGGGGATGGTTCAGATTTTCATCCCGGGTGGGAAGAAGAATTGTATAGATATAAAAGATCATTACGCATGCCCACAAGACTGATAGCTATTCCAAGGGGTCGCTCTGGTGGTCCTTTTGTAAAAGGATCCACTTCTCATTTTTCGCGTGGATCTACATCTTTACCAGATTTGGATCCTGTTCCTCTGTCTCCAGCACCATCATCTGCCCCATCAGTAGCCACAGATGAACTTTATAGGCGACCGGAGAAAACTACTTTAGACAGTGATTTAGAATCTAATTCTAGTTATTCTACACTCAACAGATTGCATTATGATTCAGAAGCTTCAACGTCAACTATTATATCTTCAACAAAGCCTAGAAAAAGCGGAAGTTCTATTGTTGATGAGCTAATAAAAAAATGTGGCAATAGAGATTCTTCTAAAAAGAAATCCAAGGACAAAGAAGAAAAACATCCAAGAACGTTGACGAAGTCCTCTAATATCACTGAATTACTACCAACGCCAAGCTTAGGACTTATTAAAAATGGACATAAAGGGAATTTAGATGGAAAGAAAGAGAAAATATTAGAAGACATATTTTACTTGGGAGCTTTTAGGAAGGAAACAGTCACTGCGTTTAGAGACGCATTTATTAAAGATACAAATGGTTTAATAGGAGCAACTGAAGAGTTTGCACCATTAATGTTAAAATCTAGGACGCGGACCGAAAGTAGGGTGTTAAAACAAAGAGCGACCATGAAAGAAGTTTTTGGTGATGACAGACCAGCTTCAGCTCCTCCTTCGTCTTGTAGAGAAACCAGTGTGTGTGAACAATCAGTAATCGAAATAAAAAAAGAACCTGAACCAAAACCTAAATCCAAGCCGAAAATACTTAAAGATAAAGTAAAGAGACGTTCAACTTCAATAAGGGACGGCCTAAGAAGTACAAAATCCCTAAAAAGAAACGACGCCAAGGGTCGAATGATGAGACTTAAAAAACGCAACAGTTTATTAAAATCCATATCTGGTAAACGGTTAAGAGAAATTAACAACAAGCCTAAAAAAGAAAAAAGTCCTTCATTAGAAGAAAAGCCAAATACCAAGGAGGAGAATAGTGCTGTTCTTACAACTGAAGGAACGGTAAAAAAACGATTTAAGCGTTTATTTGGTAGAAGAAAACTTAGCTCTGGCTTCGACTACATCAGAAAGAAGAAGAAAGTAATACGAAAGGAAGAAAATGTTAATAAAGTTCGTCGGCCGGCTCCGAAACCAAGCCCTGAATCAGTCCACGACATTCAAAAAGAGATTAAGGGATGGTTTATCAACAAAAGCGTTGGGGAAACACACTTGCATCGAGCCGCTAGACTTGGATTTACTGTAAGTATTCATACAATGATAGCGTTTGTAAAAGTGCTTTGAACAAACTTTTACGATTTTCTTATTGTAACAGGATTGCGTTGCCTTCTGTCTTGAAAAAATGGAAGTGGACCCGTCAGCAAAAGATAATGCCGGTTTCACTCCGTTACACGTGGCTGCGGCGAAGGGACACGTCAGAATAGCAAGACTACTTCTTCAATATGGAGCCAATGTTTCTGCTGCGGCCCAGGGAGGCATAAGGTACGCATTGATTTAAATTAATTCACGGTTTTGCGTATGCCAATATTGTCAAAATAAAAGTAACTGAAGTAATTAATATTATTTTATTTTCAGACCTCTTCACGAAGCTTGTGAAAGCAGCCATATGGAAATTATACGCTTACTTTTATCTTACGGAGCGGACCCACTTCTGGGAACATATGCAGGACAAACACCAGAAGAGTTGGCGGAGGGGCCAGCTGCAAAATTATTACGACTATACATAGCAGACGTTCAGGGCCAATCTGTGGATCCCTGGAGGTTTCCACCACCCACTGAAGTGATTGGTATGTATTCTACCCAAAAATTATGTTAACTTTTCTTTAACAAGCATGCTTGGATAAGGTTAAATGATTATCTTATTACAGATAAAGAAGAAATTGGTTGTGAAGCCCTTTCGTCACCACCCCCAGCATCGCCACCACCCACGCCTGACGCCACAATGGAAATTCAATGCACAGAGACACCATTGCCTCCCTTCTACAGTTTACGAACGGCCACAGGCCAACCAGCGGAAGGATTATGGTGTTTACTACAAGATGTTACAAATATCTTACAGGTAAATTATGTAGATGTATCGCTCTTAGATAAAGCTACCATAATAGAAAAATAGTGTTTTAGAACGGATCAACTATTCGTCTTTGTAACGGCGGTATTCTTATTACAATAAAATTTTTATATTCATTTATGTTTCTATATAAATCATCCCTACACGAAATAATGACAGTTTATACGACGTCAAATTACTACAATTATAAATTTAGATTAAAAATAATTACGCATGTGCGAAGTTCGACTTAAATTTTTCATATATTATTTTCAGATAAAATCAAAAGACTCGTTATTGAAACAAATACACTGCGGTTCAGGATCGCCAAAGGAACTACTTCGAGAAATCAGAACGCAGGAATTTTTAGAACGGGCTCAATGCCATCAATTGCTGTGCGCAGGAGAAAAAGTAAACGTACGGGCTTCTAAGGTTGCGTTGATACGGGTTACAGACAAATTGAGACAACTCTTAAAAATCGAGACAATACTTGTCAGTTGACAATAAAACTAACGTTAATAATAAAATGGCGTTTGTCGCGTCCTTCGTTGTATTATAGGTATTACAACGAGCTGCGCCATAACGGAGAAAGACTAATTTAAGGACTTTGTTTCAAGAACATATAAAAACATTGAACAAACAAGAGATTTCGAGGGCAGCCACTTTTTTATTGCCTACTGATGTATATTTCTTTTGTAACTTAAGTATTTGTATATAATGTAAATAACTATGCAATGATTGTATATATAATAAATGTTGCTTTAATCATATGATATTCTTATGGGTGCTATTTAATGTCGGTGTTTGGTTTTATCACTCATAGATAAATGAGATGTGAAAATGATAGATAATAATAACTATTAATGCTTAGGAAATAATAAAAGTTACCAGAAACTAATTTTATTCTTGTAAGGCTTAGAATAAAGTAAATTTGATTGTGCAATAGTTGTAACAAGTGTTGGTCATTGAACGCTGAATGATAGATCAATTTTGAATTACCAAATTAACAAAAACAATTTTACTGTGACCATGGGTTTTGTATTGACATACATACGTAGTAAAGAACTTTCAATGTTACTAAGATTAATTTTATTGATTTAAACGATAAAACGTCTCCACGTCTAACTTACAAATACATTTTATTTATAAACATCACATACTGTCAATTAATTGAGGTAGAAGATTTAGTCATTGCTTTACAATTCCTATGAGTGCTATGTTTTTGTTTACTGTTATTTTTACGAATGTTTTCATATTTGATATTTTTTATCATACTTTTATTTCATTGGTTGTATATTATTGTTATTATATTATGATATGGTCCAATATGAAATTATAAAGGTTTTTAAATCTTAATAATCTTGCATATCGAAAATATGTTGTACATAAGATGTAGCAAATTATTTTTTAAATTATTTTAAAATTTATAAAATTTACCAGCAAAAAACCTGAGATTTATTTATCGATACATTTTATCATACAGAGCGATTTAGTAAAATGTATGCAAATTGATGTTCCATAAGTAGATACCATTAAGACCACACATATTCCGCCCTATATTTCTTTATGAAGGCAAGAAAACTAATAAGTACACGACTAAACTGTGATGAAAATATATTAGGAGAATAATGTTGCGCGGATAATGTTGATAAATTTTCATAGGGATGAATGTTTTATACAATTGTATACATTTCGTGATTACCTGTAGAAGAACACTTTGTGTAATTACCTGTCATTTTTAGATATACTCTTCGTTGTAAGTATTATAATTATTATTAATAATGACACAATATTTCTTGTTGGTAAAGAATAAAAAAATAACTGTGAAAATGTTTTTTATTCGTCGTTTTACAGGAAGTTTAGGTATAACGATGGGTATGGACCCATAACAAATTTTAATTACCAGTTATTTGTTATCCCACAGTTAAGGAAAATTTGTAACAAATAAATTAGTGAAAATGCAATAACAATTATTTCCAATTTAATGATCTATTTTATTCGATTGAATTTCCAGACTTTTGTTCTACACGACCAAAACTTTGTTTTCGCCAGATTCGAATCCAAGACTATAACTGTATTATTTGTTGTCAACCATACCTAATACATTTTGATTACTGTAGTGATGTAAGCAGAAGAAATATACTTATATATATTCTTAAATATCAAATCAAATGTAAAAACTGACTAAGGTTTTCATCATTTACTACTACAACAAAAAAATACAGGATCCACATTCACTGGCTATATGTTTTTTATGGTTTGTAGTGTATTTTCTCTAAATCTGTAGAGCATTTCCTCATGACTTGCTAAAACGGTAAAAATAATGAAAAATCTGAAGGTACCTTTTTTATTACAACAATTTTATGCAACTGATTTTTTTCAAGACTGCTTGGGATAAAATTGCCTGGATCAGAACTTAGGATGAAGAGTCTTACAAAAAGCTGTCAAGGGCTTGGAACTAAGTTTAGCTACTTTTTCTCTGGTCTGTGATCCATGAATTACTGAATCAAAATTAGTTTATAAAAGAAGCTTTGCGCAAAAAACCTTAAAAATTGCATTTTTTTTTGAAGTCGGTTAAAATCGGATCGTAATTCGTAACTAACGTTGTGACAAGATAATTTTATATACTTACTAGGCTTTTAACAAATCTCTTTTTTTAAAACTATCAATGGATACGTATATAAGTATTAGCGATTTGTTTTCATTGATTTACAAAGTACATATATATTATATTCAGTATTAATTCCACCCAATTGTGAATATATAAATTTTCTTAAGTAAATCAATCTGTGATAGTTCTTTCAATATATATTTTTTATGCTCTATGGATTTAGTATTTGGCAACACTATTTAGGCGGGGCTTCATTATCTTGTTAATGCAAGTGTATTTTAAAAATTCCGGAAGCGAAACCGATTAATTTTAATTTTAAAGTAAGTTTATGTTGTTTTATAAAACGGGAATGGTTTGTGAATTCTTCATCTGCAGCCCAACGTAATGCACAATCAATAAACATAGGAAATATGTTGAGATTACTGAATTTCATTTTTGTTGTTTACGTTTCTTGTCAAAGTTTGGATACGCCGTATAATCCAAACTATCAAGTTCCATATCAAACCGATAACTATCAAAATGGAACTCCATATCGGCCTCCGCTGCAAGTACCTTATGGAAGCTTTCCGGTTAATCCAAACGAACACACGTTCCAGAGTTCGTTTTACCAGGACAGTGGTAATTCTGACACCTACGGCGACGGCGATAATGAAGTAGATCCGCAAAACACAGCAACTTATTATGCAGGTCTCGATTACGAGGAGAGATATAAATGTCCACCTAATTGGATTCGTTACCGGGAATCCTGTTATCGATTCACAAAGTCGCCTAATCGACCCCGCAACGAAGCCCGAAAAATTTGTCAAGCATATGAAGCAGATTTAGTTTCTGTCAACAGTCCAGAAGAACATGGCTTTATTATTACAACACTTATGCGTATAGATCCACAAAGGGGTTCTTGGTATATTGGTGCTCATCAACAATCCCCTGGATATTGGTCAAATGATGGAGATGGTTCACAATTGTCTGGCCTAGATAATGCATTTTTCGATGACCACAAATTAACTTATATGAGTTACAACTTTTTACCTCGTGACTATTTAGTGTATAGATTTTCACAGCAAGATGGTAGATGGGGTCTAGCTCCTGTTGAAGGTACTCAATATTTTCATTTTATTTGTGAAGGTCAAACTCAAAGGTTGCACTATCTCATTGAAGAGGCTAGATCTTTCACTTATGGTCTAGATACATATGATCCTGAGAGGATTCCTAGGGGCCCATATTTTATACAAGAACCAATAGATACAATATATGACCCATTACGCAACCATCATGTCCAATTAACATGCATTGCTGGAGGCTACCCTGCCCCCACCTATCAGTGGTTCAGAGAGGATTATCAAGTGGATAGTCCGATTTATACAGAAATTGATCCTCTCTCTGATTCTCGATTTATTTTAAGCGGAGGAACATTAATGATATACAATCCTGATGCAGACAAAGATAATGCTAAATATCACTGTACAGCGACAAATAAATTTGGAACAATAAGGTCAGAGTCAGTAAGATTATCATTTGGATTTATAAGGGAGTTTAATCAGAAAAGATCAGTTGAAAGTGGAAAACAATACTGGGGTAAAGTAATGTACTGTGATCCACCTTCCTATTACCCCTCTGTTAATTTTTTGTGGGCTCGAAATTATTTTCCTAATCTTGTTGAAGAAGATAGGAGGGTGTTTGTATCCTATGATGGTGGACTTTATTTCTCTGCTCTAGAAACTATTGATCGAGGAAACTACAGTTGTAATGTTATGAGTAAAGTATCAGATGCAGGCAGAAATGGACCTTTCTTTCAACTTCTAGTTTATCCTCACTCTGATTACCAACAATTAAAGTTTCCAAATAATTTTCCCAAAGTCTTTCCGGAAGCTCCCATTGTAGGCCAGGAAGTAAGATTAGAATGTGTATCATTTGGTTATCCAGTTCCCTCCTATAACTGGACCAGAAAGAATGGTCCAATACCTAAAAAAGCTTATTTAAGTAATTTTGATAGAGTGTTGACAATACCTAAAGTAGGTGTTGAAGATGAAGGTGAATATATTTGTGATGTGCGTAATGATAGAGCTCATATACTAAACAGTGTATTTGTGAAAGTACAAGCAGAACCTAATTTCACTATACCTCTAGCGGATAAGCATATGGATAATAAGGGCGACTTACATTGGAACTGTGAGGCATTCGGCATTCCAGATGTTAATTATACTTGGTGGAAAAATGGTGAAAAACTATTAATAGATACAATAGATTTACAAGACAAGGATAGATATGTTATCCAAGATAATGTTTTAATTATAAAATATTTAGATCCTATTAGAGACCCTGGTATGTATCAATGTGAAGCAAAAAACCAACTAAAAGCTCGTTTCTCATCTGGGCAATTGCGAGTACTATCCTTAAAACCATCTTTCAAGAAACGTCCATTGGAAACTGAAACATATGGTTCTGAAGGAGGTAATGTAACTTTAAAATGCAATCCTGAAGCAGCACCAAAACCAACATTTACCTGGAAAAAAGACAATATTGTCATAGGAGCAGGCGGCAAACGATTCATTACTGAAACTGGCAACCTTATAATCAGACAGCTTTCAAGGGACGATGAAGGGGTATATACATGTGTGGCTAAGAATCAATATGGATCAGATGAAAGTCGGGGACGCTTAATAGTTCTACGAGCTCCTCGTTTTATTGAAAAATTACCACCTAGAATCACAACAGAAGTAGGTAAAACAGTATTTTTGCATTGCAGTGCAGATATTGACCCTTTGCTGGACACAGCTTACCTATGGAATCACAATGGAATACGTATGAAACAAGCCTCAGATATTTATGCAGATAAGAGAATAAAAATTGATGGTGGAGAAATGACAATTTATGACCTAAGTTTATCAGATGTTGGCGAATATGAGTGTATAGTTAAATCTGCAATTGGTCGTATATCTTCTCGTATGCAACTGAGGATTGAAGGGCCACCAGGCCCAGCTGGTGGATTACAGGTTTTAAATATTCAAAGATCTTCTGTTACTTTGGAGTGGACAGACAGTAATCCCAATGGTCGACCTATAACCAGCTATGTCATTACTGGGCGCACACAATGGAATTCTTCCTGGTACGTTATAAATGATAATGTCGTGAACGTGATGGAAATAGACAGGTATAATGGACGTAAAAGAGCAGTAATATCAACCACGTTAATGCCATGGTCGGTTTATGAATTTCGTGTACAAGCAGTCAATAGTTTAGGCAGGGGCGAGCCATCATCACCCAGCCCGCAATTTTCCACTCAAGCCGACAAACCATATCAAGCTCCAACTAAGGTTGGGGGTGGCGGTGGTAAAATTGGAGACCTTACGATTAGTTGGACTCCTTTGCCACCCGCCCTGCAAAACGGACCTGGAATCCATTATAAGATATTTTGGCGGCGAAATGGTTCAGAAGTCGAATTCCAATCGCTCCTGCTTAAGGAGTTTGGTAATATCGGCATGCATATAGTACACGTGTCTTTAGATTATTTTTTTACCCCTTATAATGTCAAAGTACAAGCTTTCAATGAGCTTGGAGCTGGTCCAGAAAGCGAAGTTGTAACGATATATTCCGCTGAAGATATGCCGCAAGTAGCGCCACAACACGTCACGTCCCGTTCATTCAATTCCACTGCGCTCAACGTCACCTGGCAACCCATTGACCAGTCTCGTAGTAGACTTCGAGGCAAGTTGATTGGACATCGTCTTAAGTACTGGAAGGAGGAAAATAAAGAAGAAGAATGCATATACTACTTGTCAAGAACAACTCGTAACTGGGCTCTTATTGTGGGTCTACAGCCTGACACCTACTACTATGTGAAGGTAACAAATGTTCAGTTTTGTTTAGTTTTGTTTATCATTTGTTATGTGTGTGTTGTCTTTTATTTCACTTAACACGATTTCAGGTTATGGCATTCAATTCCGCTGGAGAAGGACCTGAAAGTGAGAGATTCCTTGAGAGGACATACAGAAAGGCACCTCAAAAACCACCAGCGTCAGTAAATGTATGGGCTGTAAACCCCAGTACAGTTCGGGTTGTGTGGAGATATGTTCAGCCAACTTCCGAAGAAGAACCACTTCTTGGATATAAGGTATTTCTTTATACATACCTTTTTTTTATAATTTACATTGCTAGTTCTTAATCAGGGTTCAATTCTCAGGAGACATGAAAGCAAAGGCAAAAATGTTTAATAGGTAAAATATAATATTTATATAAGTTGCGTTTGAACACTGAGTTTGTTTTGATAATATTATTTAAATAAATGCCTCTTTATTTATTTTTAGGTGCGAGTGTGGGAGATTGATCAAGATATGAGTGTTGCCAATGACACATTAGTTCCAGTGGATCACAAACTAGAAGCATATGTGACTGGCCTAACACCTGGGAAAACATATAACCTCAGAGTCCTTGCATACTCAAATGGAGGTGATGGAAGAATGTCTTCACCTGCTATTACATTCCAAATGGGTGATTATCACAGTGATGCATATGGGTACTATGTTAGGGGGGGTAGCACACAAGCTTCTATTCAGACCAGCATATTGGCATTGGTTTTGTGTATCTACATATTTTTGTAAATTTTTTAAGAAATATTTGAAGCAATTCTGTTATACAAAATAAATTTACTCATATCAAACTTCAAATTTTATATCATACAGTACTGTAGAATGTTATAAGTTATATCTTGTATGATATAGGAGGTAAAGATAACATTTCAGCCTATAAAGTATGAGTAGGTATTGTAAGGTTTTCTGGAAAATGTACATTTTATAGTTCTTTAAAGTGTAAAGTGTTTATTTGACGACAACAATTTAGCAAAGTGCCTTGCAAACAAATAACCATTTCATCACAAATTTAATATGTAGTTGAAATTAATTTATAAAATATATTATGCAAACTATCACCCTAAAATTTTACATCCTATTTTAGACAAAATAATATATGAAATGTAAATAAGAATCCTCACAACCGTATTTGCTGCAAGCACTTTATCACTTTGTGATTTTTTACATTCTTATTATAAAGCAGTAGATGTACAACAGGATTGCGATCTTTATGCGCCTAGGTTAATGTTAATTATATTTTTTCATGCAGCTTTTAACATATTTTTTACACTTTTACACTCGTATATGGTCATTTTGAGGTGATATTGTCTCCGGCCATTTTACTTTTACAATTAAGTTGCAATTAATGACTACAACAATTATATTTTTTACTATGTTTTTCGTTGCTCTTCGCTACATAATTATTTTCATATCGTTATTATAATTGTTGTTTTTAGACAATAACTGTAAATGTATATTATTAATGAGGTTATATCAGTGAAAGAATCTTTTAGGTGTAAGATGGACTCTATTATTTCAATGAAATTATGAAGATTAATCCGAGCCATTTTCTATATTTTTAGACATAAGTTCATTTAGTGATAATGTGTAGTGTATGAGATAAAAAATGCAAGAATCGTTATCGCGCGTGCGCCACCTTTTCAAGTTTCTTTTTGTAAACTAAACCAAACCTCTACTTTAGATCTGATAAGTTTCAGAATCTCATCTGTATGAATATAGAATCAAAGGTTTTGTAAAATCGTTGAAACGTAAAATCTTTTATTTTTAATAAACTTTTTAATGATAAAGTGCTGTCATTATTTAATATAACACATGAACTTTTTTAACTTACACTAAATTTTTATGTTTAGCCTTTCGCTTTAAACATGGAGCATCTACATTGCACAAGTTATCGTTTTTTACTTTTCTTTTACTGGAAGTACTATCTTCCGTCGATAGTGCTTGTGGCTTCAAAGGCAAAAGCCCGACCGCGTAGGGTATATCTTCATTTAAGGTTTTTGTATCGTTAATAGAACATGTTAGATTTTCTTTTTCTTCGGTTTGCATCCATTCTTTTGGTTTCAACGTAGTGTTTGTGGCAACAATGTTGGAATCTAACACTGTGGACTGTGAATTTTCTTTGTCCCATTCTAAATCTGATGAGATATTTGATGGGAATTCATCATTTATTTCAAGTTTTACGTTTTCGTTGTTACCACCAGGTTTATCGTTAAACACAGAATTAATACTTTCAAAATCGATATTTCGTTCAGAATCTTTATGTTTAACTAAAATAGCATCAGAATCATTCTGGATTGTATGTATATTACTTTCTAAATCCATTAAATCCTTCATTATTTCATCTTGCTCTTGAATAGAATTTGCATTATTTGCATCAGTGTATCTTTCAGTATTCGCTGGTTTTGAAATTAAGCAATCGATTTCATCTTCTTTAAAAGGCGCCGTTTGCGAAAGTTGCAAACTGAAGTCATAACAATCATCATTACGTTCAGAATCGAGTGAATTGTATTGCTGAGACATTCCCTCGCTGATGTGCGAAATCTTCGTATCCAACAAGGACATGTTAAAGCCTGTATCTAAAGAACTACTTGCAGGACAAATTGAATCTTCCCTGGAATCATTGAGTGTTTGATCCTGATAATATTTTTTAACGTCTTCACTCATAGATTTCGTAAAAAACTGCATATCATTTTCAATGCAAGAAAAGTCGTTTGTATTCTCACGTTCAATTGTGCCATTATTGTTTTGTAGACCGCTTCCTAAGACAACGTAGTTTTGGTTTTCATTAAACGATTCTAAGCTATCTGGCAGTAAAACGTTTAAACTGTTTATTGCATCTTCGTGCGCAATGTTGGTTTTATCTACGAAGTTACTACTCGAAGCAAAGTTGTTAGATCCAATGAGCATTTCTCCGCGTTCTATAGATTTGGATAAATCATCAATACTTTTTATTTCACTGGGATCGGCAACCTTTTCAATAATGTTAGGTTGTTCAATAACTTCGTACTGTATTTCATTGCTTTGGACCATGTCGAGGAGGACTTGCTCGTTGACATTGATGTAGGAACCGTCGCCAGATTCAAAAAGTATAGGTAAGTCAGTAGGAAGTCCGGCATTCTTCAAAGCGTTAACATATTGGGACATAGCATTGCCGATGCCAGAATCCGCTTTTTTGGCTTCGTTATCGGCATTTGAAGAGTAAGAGCTTAAGTTTTCATTTCCTATGGAATGCTCTTTTGAGAAAGAGATACGGGGCTCTAATATATCCGAAGTGACAGCTTGGTCCATATAAATAAGGTCCGAATCCATGTTCATATAATTGTGGGACGTAGATTCCGGTTCACAAATGCTGCTCACCGCTTGGGTTAAAGTTTTATCCATGTAATCCTTAAATATGTATTATTAAAAAACGAATAGTTTGTTATACGTGAACTCGATTATAATATTGGAAAAAGTTAATAATACCTGCATTTGTCGACTTTGTAAGCTTTTTAAATGATTTATAGCTTTTCGTGAATCCTGTTCTCTTCTTAATAATGCTCGTTCAGCAGCTCGCCCCAATACTCCATTACTTTCCCAAGTGCCAGTCTGCACACAAAACATTAATAGTTTTTATTTTCTGTGTTGATAATAATACTGTTTGAAACAAATGTGTAACATTATGATTGTTTCTTACTCGAAGACTTGGTCGGCCACGTCTTGGACGAACAGAACGTAGATCGTATTCCGAAGGACTCATTCCCTTGTTTTCTATATCGAATGGGATACGAACGACTGTATCCTGAAATTGTATAAATGAAAAGCTTTTTTTAGGAATATAAATACGATATAATAATTTGGAGATATTTACGTTAGGATTTATATTATCCGAACTTTTCGGCGGAATGGGTGGCGCTTCATTCACCGGTTTTACTTCAGGTGTCTCCTAAAAACAACAAAATGCATTACTATATGTTGTTTGTAAATAATACAATACTGGTTTTGTTTAAACAAATGAGAAAATACCTGAACATGCAAGTCGATAAGAGATTGAGGCGGACGATTGATCACTACAGGAGGTGTAAACACGGGTAGTTCGCCTAGGGGAAAGAAGAAAACTAGTAAATAGTTTTACATTTGACCAGCCTAAGTGGCCAATTTTAAAACCACGTCGCGCGTATATATTCGTACGCCATTTCATTCGGTATACACATTTTATAGGCCATACCTACATTAGGTAGGAAGTAACAGAACGTTGCCAACTCTTTCAGATAGCCTTTTCGTTGACTTAGGTATGGTACCTATAAACTTACCATAACAAAAATAATGTTTTTGTTTGTACGATGACTTTTTTCTTTTTAACGTTTAAATGATTTTTAATATTGTCAGCTTAGGCTGTTCAAGCGTATTATATTCTTACTTCCTGTTATAAGTGTAGTTCATTAAAAAAATCGACAACCTGTCAAGAAATAAACCCAGTACCTACCTGTACCACATTAATAGTAGCAATGTTGCATGGAGAACTAGCCGTCTTGTCTCTTTTGTACATGCATGTTGCAGGACATTAGGATTACACGTGCCTACTAGATATTATATATACTACCAGCATCTAGTCATTCTAAGAATACCTTTTTGGTAATATAATTATATATTTATTTACCGTAGGGTTCTACTGAATCACGTTTACTTACTAGTATTGGTTATACCAAGTCCTTCTTTAGTAACTTTTGATAAGCCTTTGATTTTAAGAAATTGCGCTGCCGACACTAATTCATCTAAATTCTCTTCTGGACATTGTGTCTTTCCACAGTACATAAACTCAACCAAACACTTCATAACGCCGAACCGCATTTTTAAGATAATAAGCGGTTCTCCGTTTTGCTTCTGCAGAACATCCTGTAACATTTTTATTGTACTACTTCTTGAATGGACCCCACATAGTTATGTTTGTATATTGTATGCAGTAAGATACTCTTGATTCGTTCAGTATTTACTTACTCACTTGAAAATAAGCGCTACTTGCTGCTAAAACAACCTTGTGGACTCGTAAAGTGTGAGAACTACACATTAATGTCATATCCACAAGCGACTGCATTTGCAAGAGTTTTCCGAACCTTGACATTAAGTGCTCAGAATAATCCTCATAGTGTAAACTGTAACGTATCGGTGCCATTTTTTAATGGTTTAATTCAATATTTTTGTTAAAACCGTCATCTAGAGCGCAATGCTTTTTCACAAATGACAGCATCGTTGAAAGTTCAAAACAATTGAAAAAGCTTTTGAAACAAAAATTGTGACTTCTTTTATAAGCCAGTATTAATTTATTTAAAATCTAAGGAGGTTTTATACTAAACATGTTTATGTAGCGTAATGGCAGTGATACTTGTAAAAAAAGAATTTAAATGCTTACCGGATTAATCGTTTTAGATATCTTGGAATAAATACTGTCTATAGTTTACGCGTGTAGCGCATTTAAATAAAACACTTTAACGGTTTAAAACGCGATATATTAGTTAAACTTATTTGAAAATGATTTTTAACTTCGGCCCGACGTTTCGGTTGCTTTGCAGCAGTCGTGGTCACGGGGAGACTGCTGCTGCCATACTAACTATAGTTCGCGATAGTGACAACAGAGGGCGCACCAAGCGGAGATAGGATCTTTTGATTGGACGAAAACTGGTGCTTAAATTAATATAGATTCCATATAGGATTCTAGAGATTCTAAAGGAACCCTATTAAATGAAATGAAGGGTAAATGTTGTATTCCTTTTATTTATTTAAAAAATACAGAAAAAAATAGTAAAATGTTAGAAAATGAATTTATTACAAATTTGTATTTGTAAGTAAGTTTTATCCTGTATCTGTGTTATCACAACAAAATAACTGAAAATTGATGGGTTTTTATACGTGTATGTATGACAAATAAAGTAACCATATAATACTTCGATACATATATTATGTAATATTCTATCACAGACTAATTAAGTACAGAAACATAATGACTATATAATATAAAGAAGGTACACATTACTATAATTTATTATTCTTAGAAAAATCACGAAGGTATTACTGGTGTATTATAATTAATTACTATTAAAATTTAAATAAAACACTTTAAGGTTTAAAACGCGATATATTAGTTAAACTTATTTGAAAAATTTAATATTTTTGAGCTGTAGGGAATAAAATGGAGGATGTCTAATAAATAAAGAATTATATCGTGAAGTTGTATTGGAAAGGGTTAAGAATTATTTTTTTGTATGGATATTAAAGGATAGTTTTATATAGTCTCTATAATCGGGTTTTGATCATGGAAATCTTGGAAGTTCTTTTGCGAGGATTTTTGGTTGGTCAAAGCGAATGTAGTGATTGGGCCCTTCTGATGAGTGTTGGCTACCGCAGATTTGGAGAGACTTTATGTTTTAATGCGATTTTAAACCTTAAAGTGTTTTATTTAAATGTGTATATGGTAAATATTTTATGATTGAAATAATTTAATTGCTTGGAATGCTAGTAGGAATGTAATAGCTTGCTCATAAGGCACTTGGAACCAATATCAAAATTAATAATAAATACAAATTAAAAAATGATTATTAATACCTTAAAAAATATCGTGTTAGTCGGTAAAATTATATTAAATTTCATAATAGAAATCGAACCTAAAGAGTAGACTTTACGTATTGTTCAGGTTAATATGAGTATTACTCTAAATATTAGCTACACGCGTAGATCTCGAATGTTACCAATATAAATTCTAATGGGATACTTAAAAGCACGTTTTACACACATTTGTTTAGAATTAGAAAGAAACAACAACATAAAACGCGACGATAAAAAAAGGTCACACGAATAAGTTGCTACACGCAAATACTAAGTACCCGTAACAAATTAATTTTAAATACAAATTTGTAACACGTCCCATACTTTGAGTATCTTTAAGAAGTTATTATTACAATAGACTTTAATCTTACTTTCCTAATACGAAGCTCTTTGACGCTTTTGCTCAGCCGGAAAGCATTCGCGACTTCACACCAACCTTATAAAATACCGCAATTTCGTCAATACCTGAGATAGAAAATAATACTCAAGGTTGAAGGTGTGTACTTGAAATCGCCTTATGCCTTTATAAGTGATCGAAACTAATTACCAACTCATACTATCATATTAGTTACTTATATCATCAGAGCCTTACCAACATTTATGGGTTCCAATGTGACATTTTAAAATTGTTAGATTAGATACATATACTCAGTAACAAATATATTTTTTCAATGTTCCATCTCAGATATTTATGTAGCGCAAAAAAGCTGCATTAATTTTGTCGTTTCTGTTAAAATTTATAGAAAAATATTGAATGTGAAAGCTTCCAACTTTATAATTTTGATAAAAAAGCGTTTTGCTATAATATAATATAATAAAAATGAGTACAATGATTCATACAAGTATTACCAAATACTTTTAAAACTGATATATAAGTGAATATAAATAATCTTTAAGGGTCTCAGCACACATATGGGATCGGAAAGGGATCGTAACCGTAACGCCTTTCGCCTAGCCGTCAACCAGGCGTCAACCTACCGTACGCACGTAACGTAAGCGTATCAGCAGCGCCTGTACGTCAACTCGGCTACGGCTAGGCGACACCGCGCTTACGCCTCGTCGCCCGCTGGCTGCAAGGAGGACGCAAGCGCGGGGACGGAGAGACGTAAGCGCGGGGACGATGAGCCGTAAGCGCGGGGACGATGAGCCGTAAGCGCGGAATTGCAAGTTCCGAGGCGAGGCGATTACGTTACGATTCCGATTAGTGTGCGTTGCAGTAGGGAGTTTAATACAAACCATTCTGAACGGCTCGAGGCGTTACGGTTACGATCCCTTTCCGATCCCATACGTGTGCTGAGACCCTTAGATTTATAAATCGAGGAAAACCACATAAGTTTTATATTAATTAAATCCAAGAATTATTTTTACTTAAGATGAATAGAAAAATAAATGTAAGGTATCATTGAAAAATATCCTATTTTAATTTACTTCATTCGATGGCGCTTATTGTCTACTTGTAGAAATCGAGTACCCATTAAATAATATAAATGTGTTTACTGTGTGATATAAATAATTTTGTAATCTTTTCAATTTCATAAAATAGTTCTTGATGCTTATGTGATATTGACATGTTTAATTGACAGTTCAAAAATAAAATACGCAAAAACTCGCATTCACAATTCATTATTGTACTTACCACGTTATTATGAGTTAAATATACTAATCTAATTTTCAGAGGCATTAAAATACATATATATTTAGCAAGTTTGATAATACAAAAATAATACCTAGTCAGTGTAACAGATAATAAAATGAAAGAAATACTGTGACAATTATATAAATAATGTTATCTGAACAATTTAACATGAGACGATATATACAATAGGTTATGTAGAAAAAATAGAGATTCATTTATAGAGATCGTTCAGTGAAACGTGACCATTGTTAATTTCTTGATTCATATAAATATTAAAATCATTTTTGACCAGAAGATGGCATTGACACTTTAAGCTCGATGAAGAGGAATTAAAATTATTTGTTTTTCTTTTTATAATCATAAATAAACGGATATAATGAAATTATTCAAAATAATGAACAAAAAAAATATGCATTATTATTTAAAAAAAAACTAACAAATGGCCCGTTTCAGTGGCAGGTTCATATTCTTAACATTAAAAAGCATTACATTATTTACATTAGCCAGCAGTAGATACACTTTGCAAATACCTAGTAATGTACATGTCTATTTGTTCATAAAGTTACTTACGTCTAATTGATTTTAATTATCGATTATTTTTAAAAATTCTTCGGGTGAGATGTGAATGCCGTCTGCCGACGCTTCGGAGGCGTTTGGGACGGTGTTCTTCAGTTCGCCGAAGGTGTATGTGGTGCGTTTGGTGTTGTTGCGAGGTTTAGAGCGCGCGACCACCGAAGCCTCACAGTCGAGGCTAGCACGTTTGTCCCAGCAAAATGGCTGCCGTGGCTCTGCACCAGCTGAAATCGGCATCGTCAGCTGAACGCGAGACCGAGCCAGCTCATTGTCGCTCAGCTGTCGCTTCAACTTCTCTTTCCCGACTACTAATTGGAAGCCCCTAAGTTTAGTGTCGATGTTTTGCGATTTATTCAACTCCACTTCACTAAGCTGCCGTTTCAATTTCGATGGCTCTTCACTGCGACGGTTACCCACTAGGCTTTGCCGTGTCGGTCCGTCGCCCCGGGTTATATTTTCCTCGGGTTCTCGACTGCTCTTTGATGAACTGCTGGTATTGGTGTTGATAGAGTTGCCTTTATCTCGCCGCAATGTCTCTATTACATTGTAAAAACGTTCCAGTTCCCCGCTACTATTGTTTCTTGATCTACTGACGTTGTTAGTGCTATGTCTATATGGGCGGATTTGAGCACGAGGTAGATGACCGTAACTGCTCTGTCGCGATATAACTGCTGAGTTTTGGCGGCGCGGCATGCTACAGCTTTTCGGGACGAAGGTTTCTTGAGACATCACCACGTTTTCGTAGACGTGTACGTTGTCAAGATCTTCTTGCGATATAAGATTTTGGCGACTCTCCGTCGTATCACGTCTCTGCCCTACTGAGTTACTCTTCTTGTGACTGTTGCGTTCCTTTATTTGAACTTCCGTCTTTCCTATTTTGCAGTCACTTAAACTCCGAGGTAATAAATTTTCGTACCCATGGCTCGATGTCTCCTGTTGAGTCACTTCTGCCATTTGATTATTCGTTGTTTGTTCTAGTGGACTCTTAATAGAATTGTTATGCTTAAGTTTAGAAACTGGATTTATTTTAACATCAGCGGGGCAGGTCTGCTGAGGGAGTGAGTCGTGTCTTTTTCTTTCTAGTTCGGGTTTAGATGACTTATCTAGCACGACTTTGGTTTTATCGCTTTTGCATATTTTGACGCTAAATCTAAACGGCGGTTTAAACACTACTTGTAATCTAGCTTTTTCCCCGGAAAAGAGATTTGTTGCGCTCTTCGAGGGCCGCGTTTTCCTGGACCCTTTAGGAACCGGCCGATGTGTTCTCTCGGTGAGGTTGACGGGAATGGATTTAGATTTGGGAATGACTGTGGGTTGCGGCGAACTGAGGAGCCACTTCTGGACTTTAGTCAAGGCTTCTGTGTCCTTGGTGGGAGACGATGGATGTTTTTGCATTGAGCTGTAATCTATGGTTTCTTTTTTAACTTTAACTTTCCTCTTTTTGACTTTCCCTTTGTGTTTGGATAATATAACGTGCTTTGGCGACTTCCCTTCGGCATTTGTAACCACAGCGGTTGCTTCTTTTGTGACCTGGATGTCGTCTACTTTCGGCTGTGGCGGTGGTTTCTGTAGAACGAGTTATATAAATATTATATCGATTCCCATAACTTAAAGCAAGTAACTAACAAAACTTTTAGATAGAAACTCACCCTTTTGCTCTTGTTGTTGGTCTTGGCGGCATGCGCCGGCGACGCTTTGTCCCCTTGTTTGCTAGATTGTTCCTTTTTACTGCGGTACGCCCGTGTACGGAGTGCTACTTTCTTTTTCAAGGGGAGTTTAGATCTGAAAATGTCCATGAAAATAGTTTTAAAGATGCATCAAGTAGTAATATAAATAGAAAACTTTTGTATCAGAACCAGTAGAGCCTTAGTTATATTCTTTGTTTACCTGACGGCTGTATGAACAATCATCTGGTCTCCAGCGTCTGGCAGACGAACAGTTTCAGTGGTTGATGAGTGGATGATTGTAACTGACTTCATCTTCTTAGCGTGCCTCCCCAGGAACCGGGTGCTCGCCACCTGAAATTACAGTAATAGTTTGTAATATACCTTTTTTTATTTTCCAAAATTAATCTATATTCATGAGTCACCAGTGATTTTTTAGCCTGTAGTTTTTTCCTAACCTGCTTAACTAACCTAGCTTTGCTTACGCCTTAGATCATAATACGATTTTAAGTTATGTATATTATATTCTAAAACTAACGTACTACCTGTATTGATAAATTAGTTAGACAAACATGAAATATTTGAATTTTGAAAATACATGAATTTTGATGAACTTTAAATGTTGACATACATGATGATTAGCATAGAAAAGTATTAGCTAAAAAGACATAACTAATGTATAATGGTAAAAAAAAAAACAAAATAAGCTACTTTTTAATGAACCGTAGCTAATTGCTAGTTTCCAAGTTAAAAAACACTTATAATAGCTCTACTACGATGTAATTTCAAAATTTCGTAATTTTTTACTCCAAACTCTGTCCTGGCAATTCCTAGCATACATGTGTATACCTTTTATAGACTCCTCTAGTTCTATTGCAGAGTCTAGTATTCTGCAACACCGCTATAAACAGATTTCAATATAAAAGCTAAATAAAACAGGATCCTAAGATAACATGTCTTTTATCACATAAATCAATCCTATTTTTTCTTCTAATATGTTTCATATACCGTAGAATTTAAAAACCCATATATACCAGCTTTACTTACTACAAATTTTTATAGTAGGTGGAGAAGACATAGAAAAATGAAAATGTAGATACTTTGTCGAGTTACATCAAGAATGTGTTTAATAACATATATGTATATAAAAATACTCCAGTAAGTATTGTACTATAATTATATCTACAATTCGTATTAAATTAATTCAACCAACATTTAAAAATTGTTTTAGAGTATTATTATTATTTTCTATCAGGGACACCTGTGGCAGGACGGCTGATCAGTCCATGTTATTAGCCGACAATTTCCCCATGTCCTCCTTGCTGTGGTTTTGGGTCATCCAAATCTCCCCGTGACAACTTCAAACCTTCCGGTTTGCTTGTAGAATCTTATTATTTTGTCCATCTGTAATTCTTTGATGTCATCTTCTGTAACTTCGTCCGTTTTAGAGTACCTATACAAAAATAAAACCATGACTTACCAGGAGCGCAATGACTGCGAGAAGAATGAGCAGCACGGCGTACCAGTGTCGCAGCATCCACCGCTTGAAGCCAGCGATACTCTCGTCTGACAATAGCAGCTTGCGTAATGTTGCCAGCGGACCTGACGGGTCCACCTCCCGGCAGCGTTGGAACACGTCACAGTAACTGGAATATTAGGTGAGTATGTTAGTTACGTCTATCCGGGTAATTTCTACTTTATCCATGTCAAATATTCACCGCCTCAAAGGCTCAATGACAAAAACCAATGCGTTTAGCGTGAGAGGTCCTGAGTTTGATTCACGGGAAGACTTAAAAAATAGTTTGTAGCCTCAGAAGTCTGATCAACTATTTGCATGTAAATAAAATGAATCAATGAATTTTACACATAAATGACCCATACCCCATACTAAATCTTTGTGTTGTGATTTAGGTTCGTACTTATGTAATAGTTAATAGCTCGTATTTAAATCTAACGTATAGTATTAATGGAGCCGCTGAGCCAATAATAAGCCAAATGTTGTCACTTTAATAAAAACTATCCTATTTACACCTCAAGTACGTACCCATTATAATCGTTACAAGGCGTTCCAGGTTTAGCGTACATATCTGGGACGTCATAAGGCGGTGTATTCCAGTGGAAGCTAGATAGACACGGTCCACCTGGCTTACGGCAGCAGAGTTCGCACGCTGATCGAGGATCGTCCGTCCGGGGCAAGCACTGGCATGACTCCAGGCCGTACGCAAGACAAATAGAACCGGTACACTCCTGGAAATGACATTGATAAGATTCATGGGCTCGTTGGTGTAATGATAGTAGGGTTTGGCTAATAATCAACGGGGCGTGGGTTCGATCCCCTCCGGGTCCAAAATGTTTCTAATCAGTTTTCCTTTTTTTTTAAACTTTGGAAATCTGGATATTAAATCTGTAGGAAAATCGAAATTCCGTCCGGGTCACGAAAAAGCCGGCAACTCTCAGTCCATGGATTTACGAAAATCCAAAGCCTCTTTTTTGTGTTATATATATATATATATCTGGGGTTGTCTATCCTTCTCTATCATATAAAATATTTCTTAATAAAATTCAAACCCCAAGAATTGTTTTTAAAGAAATACTTTTAAATCAACAATGGTCAAAGGTTAAAATTACTGTCATTTTTGTATAATTCTGGACACTTTGAATTAATGAACTATTTTTTTTAACTGGTGCGAACACAGACTATGAAAAATCTTTTACACATATAAGTGGTTTGTTGTGGTAGTGCATTTAAGGCTCTGATTACACAACCCTTATATGCGTCTGTAACTTATATCATGTTATGTATATCACTTACTCCCATGAAGCATACAAGCTCCTTGTCGCATCTTGTTCTATTAGGCTTATGCCGACTAGCAGGGCATGCAGCCCGTTTCCCGTCACAATGAGCTGCATCACGACAACCGTTGTCCGAACGACATTTGTCGCCGAACTTCAGAGTACATGACGATGTACAGCACGGGCCCTGAAAAGAAGAGATAATTTATATGCTGTCTTTACTTCACGCGAGTAACACACATTTAAATAAATTACTTTAACGGTTTAAAACGCGATATATATTAGTTAAACTTATTTGGAAATTATTTTAACCACAAATACCAACTACGACGGAATAGATGACGTTAGCGTAGCAGTTATTACTTTCTCCCTGTGGCCACGGCTGCTACCAAGCAACCGAAACATCAGACCGTAGTTAAAATAATTTCCAAATAAGTTTAACTAATATATATCGCCATATTTGTATGCATTTTTATAATGCAAAATTAATTCTAATATTTTTTTTTAGAAAGGTTATTTGTTTGTTTCATTTCCTTCGGGCATTGGATTAACAGATTTTAATAAAATTAGTTGTGTTTCAAACTGAAAGAGAATGGGTCACATTTCCAAAGAAAGTTAAGTTGACAGATAAAAAACGGATTACGTTTTGTCAGAAATCCATATGATATAAATTAGTAATTATTTAATAAAGTAGTAAATAGATATTAAAATGAGGATATCTGGATTAGTTGACCTGGCCTCCGAAGGATCTAGAATAAAAATGGGCAATAATTCCCGATACCTGGCTAGGACTACACACGCTGTGCTCAGTCAGCGTGCAAGGTTTGTAGTGGGGCCTGACAGCTTGCGGCCGGCAGCAAACGTCCGTACACTCCGAAGCCCAGCCACAGTCGCATTCTTCGCCTTCCTCCACGACACCATTTCCGCAAATCGCTGGCTGCGGTTCTGTAATTGGAAAAAACAATAAGTTGATCTGTAGAGATAAAGTATTAATAATAATAATTCTTTATTCAGGTACAAACCCACATCTTACAAATATGTCATATAAAAAATTAGAAAAATAATAATAATACTAATTAGTTAACATTACTGTTTATTTGCGGGTGCGGTTTCAGCGACTTCGTTCGCGTGAAATAATCATTTGTGTGAAATCCCGTTACCCCTCGTGGGGCATGGGGCAAACACATTTTTATTTCCGTTTCACTGATTCGTTCGAAATAGTTATTTAGGGCATGAAATTTGTTTTTACAAACCTCCTGTTCAACTCTATAAGCTTAAGCAACGTGGGTAACAACCCACGACGACGGCCTATCGTTCTTGTAAGCTAATGTTTAAGATATATACTATCGCGGACATTTTTAGAAATCATTTAAAGAGGAATCATTATTTCATATATATTTTTTGGGTATCTAGAACCGTGTTCGCAGCGTACGCAACGGAAACCCACAAAAATGAAGAATTTTCCCCGTTTTTCCACATTTACCGCTGTTTCTTTGCACCTACTACTTCGCAGCGTGAAGTGTTCTAGCCTATAGCCTTCCTCAGAAAATGCTCTAATTAACACAAAAACATTTTCAATTCAAGCTAGTAGTTCCTGAGATTAGCGTGTTCAAACAAACACTTCAGCTTTATATATTAGTATAGATTGATATATAAAGTCAACAGACAATATTAAGTCACTAGATGTGTAACCAAAGCTAATATAGGTTGACAGCATATCGTTTATATAAACCCCACGATTGTCTGTCCTCCTTTGTCTTTAAAAAGGTATTGGCTACAATAAGATTTTGGCTACATACAAACATTTTATAAAAATATCAGACTATATGTGCGTTCGTGTCTATAAATAATACTGCAGTCTCAATCGTGTAAAGAATACATACCTGTAAAACAGCCTTTAGGTGACCGTGCCTTATTGTTCAGCACTGGATCTATCGCCCGAAGTGAGCAAGGGGAGAACTTGTTGTTATTTTTGCGATCCCCACTCGTAGCTCTGGCGAACATTATGTAGTTTCCATCTTCACCGAAGGGTGTGCATACCTCTGGATCATGCTAAAATAATATTGTCCTTCAGTTTATATTTTATTTTCTACTAATAGAAAGGAACTATGGAGTTTGGAAGTTTCGACTTCCAACACATTAAACCATGGTCATCACTAAATAATTACTTAATTGGTAAACGGTAGTCGTTAAAACCCTCCTTATTGGAGAAGCGACTGGGTTCTATGTTCTTAAATCCTCTCTGGTATGACCTGCCATCGTGACTGTTAAATGTTGTTTCACTTTACTATTCGTTTTTTTTTAAAAGATATCTATAAATAGCACCTTATAGATATAAAACAATATTTTTATATAAGTATATTATGAGAAGGAATAAAATAACAAAGAAGAGTACTGTAAAAGTGACAATAGATAAACGCTAACAAGCGATATCGGGGAAATAATTGGATACTGGACATCATTAAAAAGAAATAAAGGTGGAACTAACGCTTAGAGAAAATCGTGATAACTTATAGAACATCCATATAATCATCATGTAAGAAGAAAATATGACTCCCCATACAAATCGTTTTAAATCTGCTATTTAGTAATTGTTTAAGATTGTAAAAACGGTATTTTTTTAAGAGGCGTGTGGAATCTTCTAGCATTTTAGGCTTTTGTAGCCTTGTAGGCCAGTGTCGTTTTCATGTACAGTCAGTCAGTCAGACATGTTTTGACGTAGCCACCCACTCAGGATGGCGAAACGTCGAGAACAATTCTCACACAGCCCGAGAATCCACAAAGATCAGTGAAAACTTTCAAACAGATTGCACGTACCGGTGATCCGAAATTATGTCCGATTTCATGCGCCAGAGTAACGTGGGAGACCGCCGGAGGAACATGTTTTCCGTAATTGAGTAATGTTACAATGCCTGTGTTCAGAGACTTCATACTGCCCCGGTAGTGCTAAAAAGATAAGCGTGCTTATCAAATTATTTAGTTCTTAGAAAATACTCGGCTTATTTTAAACAATCTTCGGTGAAGTAGGGAGTATGGATTAGGCAATTCGATATAAAACGTACCCCATTTTTTTCACAGACACCTCCAGCGTTCTTTAGATCTCCAGTCCAAGCCAAGCCCAATGTACCCATCTCAAAGTCACGATATGTGAACATGTATGCCAAACAGAATGCATCGTAATCTTCCTCTGAAAATGTTTAACAACTGATTAAAAACCCCCATGTTTCCATACATTGAAAATATATGGAATAGATGGTGGGTTCGAGTCCTGCCTATGACGACATAAAATTTTTGCAATGAAAAAATATTTTTGTGCAACAACCTACAAACAATTTAATAGTTCAGTTCTTATTGTGTATATGTATATGATTGTTACAGATAATAATAAATTTCTAGCGTCGCATTGGCCGTCAAAGACCAAAACCAAGAAGTTGTTTTGCAAGTAGAAAAGCTGTACATTGCTAATTACTAATACTATATTAAGTAATATTTGCAAAATTATTATTCCTTTCAATCTTCACATTTTTATTCCGAAAAAAACATATAATGAGAAAACCAATTATTTCTGGGAAACTTACCTGAAAAAAGTTCCAAGTACTTTTCCACTCCATAATTATTGGGAAACCGATACGCCGGATCTTTAAGTGCGTCTAAAGTATGAACTTTTATCCTTTTTATCATGAAAGTTATATTGTCAGGTTTTCCATCTTGATTGAAATCTGAAAAATAAAAATAAAATAAATGATCAATCTTGACAATTCGCAAAGCGTTTTTTTTTTCAATCACTTTAGCGGTTAGCCTCACCTGTTACTTTGTAAATAGCATTAACTTTCTGAACATGGCGTGTCATTACTTCAATACAAGCTTCCTCGGAGCCATAGCGCTGGTAGAACATATGATCTGCTTGTAAATAAACTAAGCAAGTTGTTTTTCTTGGATCAACAGTGGCTCTTTTGTTTACATGGCGCCCATCGTCTGTTGCATTTGCAGATAAAATTGTATAACCGACTGGCTCCTTCTTTACTATATCTTTGCTGACGGTCACTACGCCCGCTTTAGTCTTTATCACTTCCACGTGCGTCTTTGGTTTCGGTCTCGACTCTTCCGCATCAAACCGGACTTTAGTGATGAGGTTGCTCTTATCGATTTTGGTCTTCGGTTTCCTCGTGCTAAATTTCTCAAAAGGGTCACTGTTACTTGTATATGGAACGTCTAAATCTAAAGGTAGATCGGGGTTTTTCTTTGGCTGATCATCTTGCATTTCGTCTTCGGGAAGCCATCGTTTCTTTCGCCTGTTCATTTCGGTTGTGAAATCTTCCGAATGATTGTAAAAAGGGGTATTCGTAACGCTGACTTCCTCTGTAAAGTTGAATAGTTGTCCATGTTGTCCGATAGTTCCTTTTATGTGAAGAAGATGAGAGGCACAGTGCGAAGCGTCTCGATTGTCGTGGGGATGATCAACATCCGATCGCCTATAAATAACACTGTGCATGGTGGGATGATCAAAATTATAGCGAGACAGTGGCTCCACATAGTATTCTTCTGTCGATGTCCATATTGTACCATCAAACAGACCATCAGCTGTAATAACTCCGTACACATGTGATGAGTCGTCGTCTGTAAAAATAAATTAACTGTTAGGGCAAAATAAGGAAATGTGAGGAAATAAATCGTTTTTGGTTTGTTTTAGTACAATGAAATGAGAGGAGACCATTACAAAATTACCCTTTGAATCTCAAACAACTGGGGACGCTTAAATGAATAGCTAGCGATATTTTATGCAAACTAATGCGAGGTGCAGAGATCCCTGGGGGTTTCGATGAATTAAAATCACAACTTGCACTTAGCCGGAGGGGTGAAAACCACTAATAAATAATATTATTTACAATATTTCGCTTGTCCAATGTTTTCATTTAACTAAGTAAAGTATAAATTTTATACATTGTTTCATTTTACAAAATATAAGGTATGCAATGAGAATGTGGATTTTGCTTTACTGTCATGATCATTTTATGTCATTTTATAATACAGTCTTAGATAACATAGCAAGTTTGAAAATTAAACACAAATTATGTCAGAATATTGCAAGCTTCGAAACTTTTTAATAGAATATATATTATTAGTACGAGTTAATGGAAAGGGGGAAATAATATGAGGATTCGTTTAACTTCATGTTCATAATATTTTGCTGGCGCTAGATCACAGTGAATATACGTAATTATATATGTAACTCACATATCCAGACTTCTATATATATTACACAAGCAGCTATGTCGACATGTTGGGGTATATGACGGCAAATACGAGAGCAGTGAGGTATATTGTACTCTATTAAACTCGTGAACTAATTTCATCAAAATTCACTTTGTCTCCGCGGCACAGATGAGTCGCACCTCGTAATTTCGTTCTATAAAGTTGCCTTCTGAATGGAACTTTCGCCTTGTTAGACAATTTCTTATAAAGTTACTTAGTAAAGGCGTACTTAACGTAAGATATGCCTTAGTTGAGATTAAATTCCAGTAACAGATAATGAAACATCCCCCAAAAAAATGTTTTATGGTGAAGAATTAGACCCGTTCTTAAAATAATTATACGTATAAAACGGTTTTGCCATTCATGAACCAAAGATAGAAGAATACAGTTTCCAAAAGTTTAATATTTAGCTGTCAGTATATTATCGTAGAAATATAATTATGAATTTTGTAACTGACTCGCTTAGTTTAAAGAGTCACTGAGTACCAGTGGTTAGAGCTTCAGCAGGGAAAGCTATGGCCGTGGATTCGATTCCTGCCTATGTTATCGACGTTATTCGGTCTAATCATAAATTGATTTTTAATTTGAATCATAACTATTCAACTGATATGACTCTTCGACAACACAAGTGTGCTAGGTAGTACCCATTTTTCGTTTTTCTAAAATGGTTTTTTAACCAGCTCTTTTTGGTGACGTAATATATAAATTCTAATTCCATAAGCGGAAAAGTCACATAGCACGGATTTGCTTATTGTCAAAGTGATTGAATGAATTGAAGCAAACGAACCGCGGATTACGTGACCAGGTTACTGAACAATTTCGATTTATGTACAATGAGGGTTGCCAGTAAAAAGAACCATATTAAACTAAAACTTCAATATAACTAAAGAAATTTTATTCTCAATTCAAAACTATACCACTATACTCAATATAAATCCCAAAAAACTTCATTATTTGTGTTATCGCTTCTGATCGAGTAGGTCACGAAAATCAGACAAGAGAAAAACATAGAAACATAAGTGTAAATAAAAATAAACATAGAAAGATACAGAAAAGTGTCTGCATCTCGGGAAAAGGAAATTTCACACCAGGCAACCCTTATTACATATCTCATTGTTCGCTGAATTAGGTCACGATCGCGATATATTAAACTCATGTCGTGTTTAATTGTTATGGAAATTTCCGTAACTTAATATTCACGATTGCATTGTACTTCCTACACATAGCCCGGGATAGTGCTCCTGCCTGGTATTTATTATATATGGTTCAGTTTGAGAACATAAAGGAATCTTGACTTCTCATAAATTAACATTAGCAAAAGTTCTAGATTGGTTCAGATCAGATTAAATTGCTATTGAAACTCAGATTAGGGTAAAACTTGATTTGTTTTCAGGTTAAACAGCGATCCAAGGTTTCGGGGCGATGACACTTAAGTGTTTGATCTGCTGAAACCTCGTAAACATCTTCTAATTTGTATCAATAACAGAGAGAAAATGGCAGATCACTCACCTTCTAACTTTCCAGAATAAACAAGTGCAGTGTTGTAGTCTAGTGGCCCGGAAGTAGAATGAAACTGGACGTCGTCTGCGAAGACCGAACTTGGATTAGGTTGTAAGAGCAGTCGGAATTCCCTGAAATAAAAAAATCGTAGATATACCAGTCTTAGTAAAAATGTATACAACTTTATTTTTTTATAAAATAAAACCGACGTCAGAAAGCAAATAAAAAATAATTCACTTCGCACTAAGTATTTTAAGTAAAGATTTAATTAAATTGAATTTATTGAATAAATAGCTTTATAATCTTTATCGTTAGACCCCTAATGAGAACGCCTTCCGTGTAAGGTTCTTAACAATATAAACAGTTTAAGCTCAAACACATTAGTGGCTACTAGGAGATATATAAATTTTACAATACCCTTAGAACTCTTAAATTGGACAAAAATACTTTTTCATTAGATTTTTCATGCATTAAGTATAAACACTATATTTATTAAGATTGAAGATATCAGCGCATTTAAATTTTTTCTAACACTAAAACAGCAAAATTTGATGGATGCTTTTAAAAAGTTTTTCAATTGGTTTCGTGTAGTTTGTATGTGTTCCATGTAGTCTATATATGAGTTCGGAAGACTATAAAATGTTTAAAACTTTAACAAATTTAAAAACTACCCGTACAACAGTCACGTGGAAGTACTAAATTTCCGTTACGCAAGCCTAGACTGATTTATCACGCTAACACCGCGATCTACATTTTAACACCTGCAGATGGGACACCGTAAAAACGTCGTGTTTTCGCCACTTTACTTATACCTTTGCAAAACCCTTTTTGGGATTTTAGGACGTAAATTATAATTACTAGATATTTATATAATATTAGTATTAGCTTTATAAGACAAATGCATCACTTATTACCCTTTAAAGCGCGTTATATATTAGTTAACATATTTTTAATTTCTTTTAAGTACGGCCCGACGTTACTACATATACATACATACATATATACATAGACTGAGAAAATCATTACTCTTTCTTTTGTCTTCGCCGTCGCCAGTTAAAAAGGAATAAAGAAAAGCCCTAAGTTAGTCACGCCATCAGTCCTAATTATACTTTGTAGACTTCTGTAATATCCTCAAGTTTCATCGGGCAGTAAAATCATTTGGCAGGATAAATCCTATTATGGTAATTCTAATCAATCTCTGCTTTACTTCGCAACTTTATTATTACCATTAAACTGAAATTTTCTCAAGGCTAAATGTTTGCAAACCTTGTGCTCTAATTCAATTAATTACCTGAGCATCAGACTTTGTGAATTTCGCGTGATATTATTCGCTTAGTTAAATAAATATTAATAAGCCAACTTTATTGGGATGGAAGTTGGCGAAGTAATAAGATTAATGAGTGGCTTATTTTATTTTCTCTAGTAGTTTGAGGCGCTAAGGGACGATCAATTACACGAGATTTGGTAGGAACTTTTGCACACACGTACGAAGAAGCTGAATGCTATGGATATAGCAACATCGCAAGTGCACGTTTTCATATTTTATGGACTAAAACAAAAGATGAACGATTGGAGTATGTAATAACTTAAATAATAAAAGTAAAATATATACATTAAAGTACTTAAGTAAATTAGGATTACTATTATTTTTACTATATAATATTATGTATGTAGTAGACTTGTGATTCATGAAAACTTTTACTGGTCGATACTACCGAAAGCGAAGTTAGGATTCAAATCTGCGTATATCAAAAGAGACATTGATTAATCCCAGTCTTTAATCAAAACAAAGTGACGATGTAAATTACGAACTTTTATTACGGAGTCCAACATTCGCTCGTCCATCCTTATTTAGGGGACTCGACAGTGAAAACTCTGAAAGAAGTTATTAGGGAACACAATTTCCGGAAGCCATTATTCATTTCTGGTAACAAGCAGATTGTCCTGACTCCTGAGTGCCGTCCTCTCGCATTGTTGATTAAAGGAGACGTGGGAATATTAAGTCGGAGCTTTGTGAATCTATGCAGAAGCTAGTCTCGTAGCAGAGATCGCGCTTTGTCACGTAATACGAACAGCTTTGACTCGGCTGTTAATTGCTTAACTGGGTGAATTGGAATAGTTTTATTGCCTAAAATATAATATTTACTGGCTGGGACCACTTCGTCCGCGTAGAATATATAATTTATTATAATTTATTTTTGCAAACCTCCTCCTCGTCTTTATATATTCTAATTTCTAACATTCAAGTTTTACCTACGATATCGGTCGCGTCTTGTCATTCTTGCGTGTAATCTTAAAAGAAAGAGAAATACTGTCCACATTTTAAATTATTTAATAAAAATACATTTTTTTTGTGTATCTTGAACCGTTCTCGCATTGCACGCAACGGAAACCCGTAAAGATGAATATTCTTCTCTCCACATTTCCCATTGTTTCTTCGCTCCTATTGGAGTCTTCAACCTTCCTCGATAAATGTTCTAACTTCTAACCTACACAAAATTGTTCAATTGAACCATATGTCCTGAAATTACCGATTTCAAATAAACAAACAAACTCTTCACCCTTATAACATTAGTACAGATGATATTAAAACTATTTCATAAAAAAATTTTAAGGTAATTAGAGAATACTTAGCTTATACTAAGCGAATGCACATTACGGAAGACTTACACTGGAAAGACGACTATTACAAAATAAGCGTCATATTTAGTTTATTTAATGAGTTTAATGAGAAACTTTACTGTAAAAATTAAATCCTCATTACGGAGTTGGGTTGAGAGTTTGTTGTGAAAAAGACGACATTTTGATCATTTCAGATCCCAAACTGGCTTAATAATATGTTACCTAAACTTTGGAAATATTTTTGCCATTTTGTCGTAAAAAGTTTTAGCAGCCACGGATTACTTCGAAGTATGGGCGCTTGTGATATTGTTAAAGGGAACTCCAAAAACGTCATCCTGTACAATAAAACTCGCGAAATCCCATATATCCGAGTGTTTGCGAGAACAAATAAATGAATAGTATCCATTATGGCTAAAAATAGCAAGTAGTAGTTCAAAATGGTGAACTGTATATGATGACTTTTAATGTCACTGTGACTTATAGTTATTACAAGTATGTATGTATTCATTTTTTAGAAATATTTCTTCCAATTCGCGCCCTTACTAACTACTAAACTAGTAACTAGTAAGCCCTTACTAAACTTACGGCCTTACTAAACTAGTAAGATTTTCCAGCTAAAAAGAAAACTCAACAAAAATATTTATAATAGTGGTAACATTTTAAAAATCGAAATTAAATTGAAAAAAATTTCGACTCAGGCAGGATTTGAACCGGCATCGTCAGCATTCCGTGCTGTTGCTCTACCGATTGAGCTACCGAGTCCTACACCTCATCGTCGATGTAAAAAAAAAAACAATTTATTCTCGATTTTTAAATTATATAGTGCCTTCATAATGTTTCAAATAGTATTAACATTTTAATTTGGTGAAGATTTAAGATTAAAATTGTATGACAGTTAAGGTTATGCCATGTTGTAAGAGATCAGGTTTTTAATATATTTGGGTTTAAACACGGGTGTACTCATTTCATCGTAATTTACAACGAAGACAAAAACTGCGTTCGAATAACATGTACATATTTTTTTTGTAAATAACCTGAGAGGGTGGATTTTTTAAAAATAAATTGAATGAAACAATAATGTAATAAAAATTTCCTTCTTTATAGTTTTAATATTAATTTTTATATAAGATACGAGTACTTTATTCCATGATAAACTTGAGAAACTCTTAGTTGTCGGTTGGCAATTGACCATATCCTCACATCGTGATTGATTGTAGTCGACCTTAATTCCTTATAATCAGTCAAGCTGATACATTCAAGAATGTTAACATTGTGTTCTAATTTATATCAAATTACGCCTAAGCTTACTATGCATTTCAAACTACATTAAATATTCCACTATGTAACCAAATATCAACGATTTTTCTATACTAATATATGAAGCTGAAGAGTTTGTTTGTTTCAACGCGCTAATCTCAGGAACTACTGGTTCGAATTGAAAAATTATTCTTGTGTTAGAACATTTATAGAGGAAGGCTGTAGTATATAAACACAACGAGCTGTGACTAATAGGAGCAAAGAAACTGTGGGAAATGTATGGAAAAAAAAAAAAAAAAAACCAAAAAAAAAAACCAAAAAAAAAAGAAAACAAAAAAAAAAATTCAGACCTGGCCTGAAGAGGGATATTTTACATATGATGTGTAGTTATTGTTCACGATAGGTCAAATAAGTCGTAAATCTTTGACCACTGTTTGTTTTATAAAGGGTGAAGCTATCTATAGTGAGTAGTGGAACGAGGGGAATGCTCGGGTCTCGGCGTTAGGAACGTTTTAATTAAGGGAATGGAGTTCCAGTCACAAATGGATTAGTCTGGGACACGTTCGATTGACTAGATTGTGGCCAGTTTTATACCTCCACCGAGGGACGTTTACATTTGAATTATTAATACATCAATGTCGGGGCCAAGTGGATATATCACTTTGAAGCGAAGATGTAGGTATATTAAAGTCTGTCATCAGTAAAAAAATCGATCAGTCAATTATAAAATATTTTATATAAAACAGTTTTAACGGTTTAAACGCGAAATACACTGGTTAACTTATTTTTAATTTACGTTAAATACGGCCCAATATTTTAGATTCAATTGATAATTTAATCAAGGAACGAAATTATTCTATTATAACTGACAGACGATTTTTAAAATTAAATATTATATAACACACGTTGGCTTTTTTAGGAACTATATACTTATATAATACAAATGTATCTGGAAGAAAATGTCACAGATATTAAGGCCGTTGTTACACAAATTATTCTTTAAAAAAAAGAAATACATAGTCTTTTTTTTAAGAAATATAATTATTATTATTTACTTTTGTCACTATTCTCGCAGTAGCACACATTTCATCTATGTAAGGAAGTACCTGTTATGCGCTTTGAATGACAAGCGTAAAGGCGTTGAGAGATGCGCTGGAGGAGATGCAGATCTGCGCAGGCGGTGCGCTATCGGCTGGTAACCGGCGGGCTGCCAATGGCGCACAAACGGCGATAGAGACATCCCTGGAACAAAAAGAGATATGTTTTACTTTTTCTAAGTGACTGCATCTGTAGAAGACATGAGTATTTTTTTGCGCGAATTTTGTAGGTAGAACAGATGTAAATAACTAAAAAACATAAGTTCCACATCGTAGACTGTCACACTGTCTAGTTTAATATAACATAAAAAGTACTATAACAACGCGTTGTATTTCGGTTAAATTAGTTTTAATTTTAATAATATACTATTATAACAGAAGAGGGCAGACATAAATAAAATGCCATAGTCTTATAAAACTCATAAAAATGACCTCTCGACGTCATTTCATCCTATGAACGTTGAAGATATTAAAACCAAATGAAAATTAATACTTTGGACTTTGTTCATGACCCGAATTCCTATATTCCTACCACTCGTTTAGTTTCAATATCCTGATTTTTCAAACGCGGTTTTGAAAACGTTAAAAACGTAAACTTGATTTACTAACATTCTCGTGTCAATGGAAAACGAATCCGCCATTGGTTTATTATTAGTAATAAATTGGTCTCATTCGACTAACAATCTCGTTTTTCACCTATTTTAAAATTAAATGAACGATTATACTTAATGCGATTAATTCAGCCTGTACTCTACTATTACGGTAATTGATTGTACATAAAATATTCACTAATTATTTATTTACAGAATCGTAATTAATCTCGCAAAATCCCAAATGCCGAATTTGTTCGGCTTTGCAATGCCTACATTTATAGAGCCTATTAATTATATGTTAACATACGAATGTGTTGTAGTGAATTAATGGTTTTTAAGTTTATATATTTATTTTAATTCTTTTTCGGAAAAAAAGTTTTGAAACAACGTACGTGACAGGCGGGAGTCGAATCCGGCACTCCGCCATTCCGGCAGCGTTCTATACTGTTGACTCACCAATAGCTTTACCAATAAATTTACGATGCGAACGAGGCTCAAAATTACGATTTCAGTATGCTGATGCTCTAACAATTAAACTAACGTGTCGGCTAGAGCAGCAGCACGGAATACTGAGGTTAAAATAAATGTTATGTAAGCCTTCACTAAAAGACGACAAACGGCAATATGGTAGGCAGCGGTATCTCTTAGACCAACTTCCTTCCTAACTAAGGAAGGACCTCAAAAACCACGCAACCGACGATACAAAAAGTAAAGGAATGAAGTGTGATTTACATAGGTGCATTTTAACATTTGAATTCCCGTGAAAATTTAAATAAAACACTTTAACGGTTTAAAACGCGATATATTAGTTTTCACAATGATTTTTAAATAAGTTTAACTAATATATCGCGTTTTAAACCGTTAAAGTGTTTTATTTAAATGTGTACTACTCGCGTAAACTATAGGCAGTATTTCCCGTGAAAACCCAAGAAAAAGTTTGTATAGACTTTTTTAAAATACATTTTGACAATTAGGCTTTATTGGCATTGTATTTCTATCAGCAAAGTCTCATATAGATAACATAATACTTTACAATAGGAAATTATAAAAAGTATATTAAAATCGATTTTAAATTTAAAAAAAGTATGACACGGGCAGGACTTGAACATCATCCGTTCAGACTAGAACATATCCACAACATTCCCTGCTGTTACTCCAACGGTTTGAGTATAACCAATTGAACTACCGTGTCTTACACGTCAACGTGAACTTTTTTTCATCTAATAGCGATTTTTTATTTATATAGTGCCATGGTGTGCAATAACATGTAAACAATGTTACAGTTATAATCAGTATGTTAATTAACTCTATATTGATCTAATTATTAGACACTCAAATATTAGAATTATGTTTCCTTTGTTTCATATTACAATTTTAACATATACATAAACATATACTTGGTACTTCATGATACAACATAATAGACATAATTATCATAGCAAGTTTTCTTGCTTAGTAATTGTAATCAAAAAGTTCTAATACAAAAAACTACAGCCTTACCACGCCTCTTACGAAAATTCACGCACTTTAAGTTTATATAATGTACAGAATATTATGTCCTCCACTAATTTACGTATAGGCAAGTAATTGATGCGTGGTTGGACTTCTGTGCCCTGCTCGAAACAGTGATCCCAGGGGTTCGACCCGCCTTACGTGCTTACCGCGATCCTAGGCGTTAAAACATATGTTAAGACGACCAAAAGAAACCGTAATACCGCAAACACAGTGAATCATAGAAATTATTTATGAACGGTCCATTGCACGGGGCAGGTAGCTTTAAATTTGCATAATACGATCGTTAGAGAGCAGCCTTCGTCGGATTTTTAATTAAAATTTTCAAAAGAGGGTTTCAAATGAATATGATTGATGGAACTTAATAACTTCATTGCTTATTGATATATTCTGTTACTATTATATTGTTATACGCTAGTTTTAAAACCTCCCGCTTTCAAAATACAAATATCCTACGAACATACTACGTTTTACTCGAACAAGGATTGTTTCATCATTCGTCATCTTTTGTATCACATACATTACTGTAGTACACATTTATATAAAAATCGCGAACGTTAAAAACCCCGAAAATAATTTAACTAACACATTTCACATTTTAAACCGTTAAAGTTTTTGATTTAAATGTTACATTTTCTATTAAAGTAACATATTTATTTTATGACACAAGCGACTGTATAAGGACTGAAAAGGCTAAAGTTTTCAAATTAGTTCCAACGAATAATAGCATAAACATTAACTACAATTACAAGTAAACTGTGGGAGATATAAAGGATATATAGGTATAATATAATAATGTTTTGTAATCATTTTGTGTCTGTATGTAACTCCGCGGGTTTCGCGGATTTAAGTAATATATATAAAGCTCAGCTGAAATCAGCTTGTCGGCCTCCTAAATATTGCTGGTCCCCGCCCACAAGTGGAATAATGATGTGGCCCAATTCAGCCCACACGATCGTCAGAGATGGTTCTTTAAGCTCGAGGGCCAAGATTTACTTTGGCTTGCTCAGAAATCCGTTAATAGTAAAAATGTTAGTGTAGACCAGTGATTCGCAAAGTGGTCTATATCGACCCCTAGGTGTCTTTGACATCCTGCAAGGAATCCACGTCAGCGACAAAAAACTAGGCGTCCATGAAATGGAAATGGGGCTCCACAATAGTGGATTTTAACATATACACTGATATGTACAATTTATTATATATATGTTTATTTACAGATAAAATAAATATTTTGAGTAGTTTTAATTTTAATTCAATTAATCAATGTATAAATTAACATGAGTTTTTAAGTTTTTAACACTAACATTTACTACAGTTAGAAATTTACAGGAAATCAATATCAGGTAATTGTCTACTCAACACGAAAAACCATGGCAAGGGGTCTACGACACAAAAAAGTTTGGAACTCTGGGGTAGCTTATAGTCTACAAATATTAGTATAGTATTAGTACATTAGTATACCATAGTTTATAGTAGTAATACTCGATGCAAACTTCACACGGCAGTCTATAAATAAAGGAGAGTCTGTTGCAAGAGTATGTGCAATTTGGTACCGCTAACGGATATAAGCACTAGTTAAAAGCTAATTGGAAAGTTGGATATATTCTTAATCTCGAGAGGGCAGGGAATTCGAGGAGCGTGGGGTATGGAGATGTTATTTATGGACGCAATGTGAGCGCCAGATTGCAGCGATGCTTCAGACTAGTATTTGCCACTCTAGCTTTTTGTTAACAAGAATTTCAGGGAATATATTTACCTAAGTGAACATTGTGGGAAAACATACTGAGGTAGAGGACTGCTGTGGCCGCGACTTCGTCCTTATCCCGTGGCACGAAATAATATTAATAGATAGACACATACTGTCGTGGACATTTTTTTAGATCGTTTAAAGAGGAATATTTCTTTCATTCATATATTGTAGTTATCTTGAATGGGTTTCCCCGTTTTTCCATATTTTCCACCGTCTTATCGCTTCTATTGGTCGCAGCGTGATGATTTATAGCCTAGTAAAGCCTGTCTCGATAAATGCTCTAACCGACACAAAAATATATTTTTCCATCCGTACCAGTAGTTGCTGAGATTCGCGCGTCAAACAAACAAATTCTTAATATTGTTGTAATAATAATTAGGCATTGCATTTTTAAGAGAAATATCAACTATCAAAAACTTTTGATTGCCCCAGTGGCCTTATAAAATTGACATTCTGGTGTCTAACGTATTTTTAGATACAAACCCAATTTGTACATAACTTAAAATAAAACGGTAAAAGAAAAACTCATATGGAACTCTGCTTGAATTCAGAGTGTATAATTTTTCGCACCATTTGCCTTCGGACGTGCGCACCCAAACGCCGTCAGCGTGTGAAAAACGTGATTTCTGAGAATTTTATAAAGTATTGGATAGTTAAACGTCCACCTGATGTATAATTTGTTTCAAATTTACAAGAACACCAGGTGAATTAAAAATAATCCGATTAAATACTAATAAACGCGATATAAATGAATTCGGATATATTTACCAGTGAAAGAAACATCCAGATAATTACCAAATCACTAGTTACGCTTCCTTAGGGCTTTGCCATGCCCGTGTTAAAATAACTATACAGATAATATCAAAGCTCGTACGAACCCATTTCAAAGGAGTTTCCATTTACATGAATCTAGACTGCAACAGAACATCATCGGAATCTCGGAAGGCGAAGTGAATTGGAAAAAATACAGCGTAAAGAAACTTATTTGACGAACGCCCCGGCTTTCAGAAGCTTCAGGTTAGTTCATTGGGATATAATACTTGCTAGTGCCTTGCCTTAAATCTAGGGTTCCCTACCTTCACTTAACATAAACGTATAAAAGTAAGTGTTGTTACTTAAAAACAAAAAAAAATATGAGTAAATTTGATGACTATTCATTTTCTATTTTTATAAATTTCTTTAACAAATTTTTCCGAACGAGCATTTCATTCGTTAAGAACCCAGCTTATTTATTCCTCAATGAATGCCGATACAGCCATTGTAAGTGTATCGACTGCAACGCTATAGA